AGTTTGTTGTTCGCACATGATTCAAGATGGAACTTTGAAAGCCCTAATTAGTAAGATGGAAGAAGATATCAAAGCGATTCCGCAACTTCGAGGAAAATAGCGTATTTTTCATATATGAAAAATGATCTGGGCGCGCAAGGGATCTCGGTTGAAAATGGGCCTTTAAGCAACTCGACCTAAGCCATCCTCGTTTTACCATTCCTCTGCTCTTTTCGCGCTTTTTTTTTTTTTTTTGACAAACTCAACGCTTGAACGGCCTAGGTCGTGGCTTTTATTTCAAACTAAGCCCGGTGAACTCAGCTTTTATATGAAACCAATATTTGATCAGGGCTCGGCCATTATAAACGAATCGTATTTTCCTGTGGTGATCCTGAAGACTTGTAATAACTCTTTATCCAATCCGCAGGATAAGCTAAATCAAGGCAGATGTGATCGAGTCGGGCTGACCGTAAAACTGTAATTCCCAAACGCCTCTCTCTCGTTTCTGAATACACTAAGGCGTGTCCTTTGTCCCAAGAACTTGACCCTGGAATAATACCTTTGGGCTCTAACATTTCCATACTTAGTGGTATGTTACTCTTTGTTCTTATGCGCCCATCGAGTTTACTTAAGTGAATTAAAGAAGCAGTTTTCGACCTCAAAGGAACTATTTACTTCAATGCTCATAATTGACTGAGTAAAAGCGCTGAAAGAAAAATACTCTTCTTCAGTAAATACAATCTTTTTTTAAATGGAGGAATCGATGACGATGAAATTTGTTTTTCACTTTGCCTTACATGGTCAAGATATCGATCAAGTTAGTCGGTACGATTACTGGGAAAATCAAGGGAGCATTTTTGCTTTTACGAAGGGTTCTCTTCGGTTTCCTGGCAACACTTAGGTTCTGTTTGTTCACAACATTCTATAACAATCAGAGCGCTAAACTAGAACAGGCGAGGACACAAGCAAACACAAATTTACCCTATAACATTACCATCGTCATTATCATTATTGTTGCTATCGCCATTATCATTATTATTATTAATTTTGTTTGCATTGTAAATGCTATAAAAATCTATATGAATTATTAATACAAGACAACTTAAGATCGTATTTATTATCAAGGAACACCTTGCAAATGACAGTTTCGCACTATGAACGCTACGGCGATCTGATGTCTAAGATAACCACGAATATTTCCTAGACTGAGTCGTCGACAAGGTATTTCGAATTCATTCTCTATGCAGCCATAGTTATAACACATACGAGATAAGACAACTAGATATATAAATTCCCTTTATCAGTGGTATTCAGCTGATAGCCACATCAAACAGCGTATCATTAAGGGTTCAACTATTTGGCAAAGCAAACGATCTACCATTCAGGATGTAAATTTGAAATATAGGGTCAATTTTCTGGAGATTTCAGTTTTCTTCTAGATGGAAAACTCTTGAAAATGGCTTCTACTTGGCATGTAAAGGTAGTAAACTGTCTTAAACTGAAGATCTTACGTTTTAAGCGTGCGTGGTTGAATTTTTTTTGTTAGACTTACTTTTGTTTAGTAATTAAATTTACAGTATTCAATTCTTCAATATGACACTCAAAAGCAAATTTAATTCCCTGCAATCGTCAGGGAATAAGCTAGTTGGGTTGTATGTAGTGTGCTCTTCCATAAGCTGAAGATCACACGATGGGAACTTCAAGGGAAGCTGTAACCATCTGCCGACATGATCTATATTTGGAACACTCCTATTATTTTTCGAACGCTTTGCTCACAGTTTCATTTTCAAAGCCATTTGTATACTAAGAGATTAGAACATCCATCTACATGTTCCACTTTGTGTTTCCAGTCGAAGCGACGGCTATCAACAAAATTTTCAAGGGCGAAGAGAAGCTGAGTTATTCAGATCGTCGCAAAAAGACGAGAGAAAAACGGCGTCTTTGAAGTGTTTAAAAACGAAAAGATTTCAGCGATTTCTAAGGTTGTACGCAAATTGCACCAAAACTATTTTCACGAATTCAAGCGGCATTCTCAGAAGTGAGAGACAATTTGCAATATTAGTGCACTGACCCTGACAGTTGATTTTTTTAAAATATCAAGTGGTGTAATATTTCTGGGATTCTGAATGTAAACCTCACTACATGTGATGCTTTGTTTCAGGATGACATGAAAACGATTAGCATTTTCATTATCCGAGCAATAAAACGACAGCGTTCATGTTTGCGGGCATGTTTTGGGCCCGATTCAGAATCATTTTAGCGCGAACTGTTAGGCGAGGGTTAGGACTACCCCTGAAAAGGAACCAAACATATTTGTTCCCGAGGAAATAAACTGTATTATTATCATGATAATTACTTTAGAGGGAATCGGGAAAATAAGAACCGTGAAAAGAATTGAGAGCAGAACTGTCTAAACGATCACTCGGGTGCGCGAGAGGGCTAAAATACATTTTCTACCGCCAAAATCTCCATTTCAGCCTGGATTATGCGCCACGATACTGTAAAAAGCGATATAAATATGGTTTTGAAAGTGAGGTTGCTACGCGGAAAAAACAATAGAAAATGTCTTTAATGATATTGACCTTCATCTTCTGATCGTATACTTCTTGTGAGGACTTCTGCAAAAAGATCGATTTTAAATAGAAAGAAAAAAATGGGAGTCAAAGTGAACTAAGGTTCAGGCGGAATTTCACTGAAAAATCAACACAGATGTAAAGGGTGAAACCGGCGTAATGACGCTGTCAATAGGGAATTTAAGCAAACCACGACGGCGACGGCAACGAGAACGTAGAAAAACAATAGATCTAATTGGCAGAACAATAGCCTAGCACGTACGTTTAAAACTTTGTACATTTCTTAGCCGTCCTTGGCAAAACAACAACGTGAAATCACCAAAATTTGTCTCGTCTGCGAACCGAAACCGCGGCGGCAAATTATTTTAATTTGCATTTGGAACTCAACGCTACTTTTATGCGTTATGTTGAGTTTGAGGTCTGGCGCCCTATGAGACGGTAAACACATGCAGCCATTTTCGAAATTCTAACTAAAAGTAGAAACTCATTTTTTAATCGACGTCTTCCGTTGCGTTGCCGTCGTGACTGCTCAAGTTCCCTAATAAGTCAACATATGCAGTCTTGAATATGCTGCCTCGACAGAAACACGAATTCTAATTGAGAACGCGGTATATCTCATTACAAGGCACGTTCATTTGTAAAAAACTGGCCTAATTCCTTCGTTTCTCTTGCATTTTGACATCAAGTGAATGTTATTGAAAAACTACCAGCCTCACTCCCTTCAAAAACTCCTTTCCGAAAAAAAAAAGCATTACAAGAGCTGTCAGCTTCAAAGACCAGCCGACGAAAGGAAGAAGGAACGATATTAAGTTCTGAACTGTCGAACGCCTTGATACACTGAATTTTATTTATGATAGAGAGAACTTTAAGTTTGTTAGTAAAATTGATATCAAAGCAAAATCGAATGGATTTGCTTTTTATAGAAAACGCGTAAAGAAGGATGCGGTTGGCGTATTTGCATTCCGCGGTCATCTAAGCGGAGCGAGCCGAATGTTTACAGTGCTCAATATAGAAAAATGCGTGTTTCGTTTCTAGCTTGCTCAAAAATTCTCTTCCGCTTTCTAAGTGGAGCTGCTCATTCATTCTGACGTTGTCACCGTTTCAGGCTGCACCTGGTACGGCGGAAATTATTCATTTTAAGATGAGCTGAATATCTGTGAAGTTTCGAAACCGGGAATCGCTCTCCTTGTTTCGGAAGTTTCTTTTGGCGTAACTTTACGTTTTCTTGAGCCACATGTCGGCCGAATTCTAAAGAGTCTTTTTAATCCTTATTTTTGAGCCGACTGGGAGCATTCACTTAGTTTTTGATTGACAGCTGTTGTCTCGCTGGCCATTCAGATCATTTTAAACACGAAGGCGCGCTATAAAAAGAGCCTTAGGTCCCACTGGACCATTTGTAAATCAACCGTCGTGTGATGCAGAACTCTTAGAGTTAAGTCAGCTTGAGCTACAGCTACTCTCCAAAGCAGTGAACAACGGGCGCATTCCTCAAAATTGTTTTATGTCTTCATCATAATACAAGAATTTTTGAGATTTGTATTTCCGTTCTCCAACGGAAACTATCTTTATTTGTGGAGGTAAATTTGAGATCGAAGTAGGTGATTCGCACGTTACCTCATGCCACCATGCTGGTGGAAGTAAACAATAGATATCACATTACCTCATTTTGTTCGTCTACCAGCATTTGAATTTGACTCGCACACGTCAACGGTGAGTGACAAATGAGCCTAGGTCTTCCCAGGGAAGACTTCCTTATATAGCACGCCTTCGTGTTTAAGAATTGACATGACCCTCCTGTCAGTATGAATAAGTTAAAAAAATTTGAAAGAAAACACTCAAAGAATGTAGAAAGTAACGATTTGGCACCATTGAAACCAATTAGTCTCTTCACATCCAGCGATGCGCGCGATCACCGACTCATTCATCACTTTAAAATGCACAAGTAAAGTTAATGTGGTCAGACAAAAAAATAAGACAAAACAATAAAATAATTTCGTAGAATATTACAACAATGGCTAGTCCGAGGTTTAAAATTTCCCACAACAGCCACTAGAAGGTGGAGGTCAACGATCAGCATACTTTGGCTAACAAAAGAGCTATTTCTTGTCATGAAATTTTTATATCTCTCTTTCTTCCAAGGGCTTGAGCCTTTTTTAAAGATTTTCCGCTGGATGGTTATTTGATGATAATTTCTGATTGTCACTGATCGCTGTCACGTTCAATTCTTCATCAGATCCTGACCTCTGCGATATTACGATGGGACTACTTCTTTATGTTTTAGTGGCCCTCCTATTTCTGGTGAGTTTCTCAATTCATATTGTGGACAAAAACCATGCGCAACACTCAAAATGATCACACTTAGCTAATTAGCTTAAAAGGGTTATGTGATGTCTATTTAGTTTACTCAGTTTTGATGAAAAAAAAAAAGACTGTATGTCAGATTTCTTAAACTTGTAACCATATATATATATCTTATTAACCAAGCGCAAGGGCCGTACTGGGAGAATATTGGCCCGAGGTCTTGACAGTACGGACCGAGTGCAGCGAGGTCCGTACACAAAAGATCGAGGACCGATATTCTTCCAGTATGGTCCCGAGCGAGCTTGGTTAACAAGAGATTTATTATACGACTGAAGTTCAAAGGGACACAAGTGCGGTGTCATTCGGGACCATTCGGGACAGTGCCCGGTCCAATACTGAGAGAATATTGACCGGCAATAGAGCATTTTGATTGGTTGGTTTTAGTTATTGGCCCTCTGACTGCCCAAGTCGTGTAATAAAACGTATGTATTGGTTTCCCTTTACCATGAGAGTGCTCCCGTTCTGTTAATCCTAACGTAAATCCATTATATCCATCTATCTAACCGATTCACGACTAGAACCAAGATTTAAGCTTTTATTTTGAGCTGAGGTTATTTTTGACCTCGAATTCGATTAGGAAAAGGTTTGCCTTTTTGTGAGGCTTTTAAGCGTAATGAGTGGTTAAAAATCTAGGAATGTAAAGCACACTGATGACTCTTTTAATTCAATGGAATTAAATAAATTGTGAATGTGTAACAGCGATATAATGGTATCATCCACAGAAGGCAGTCATGAGTATTTCTCTGATTGTGCCACAGAATTCCTGTTTATTAATTTAGCTACCACTGGAAAGTTTTCTGTTTAAGCTGATTTCCGTACATTGCAGATTTATGGATATTCTGACGTTTCTGGAAACTCTTCAGGTATTAGAAAACACGTCTTTATGCTTTTGTAATGAAAGTATATGACCAAAGACTAAACTAATCACAGCGGCCAATCAGTTAAAGGAAAAAATCACAAGGAGCTGAGAAAACTTAAAGTAAAAAAAAGTGAAACTACCCGAGGGGCGGGAAATACGGTTGACGAAGCAGCTACCTGTTTTAGTTTTGAGGGTGATTGAGTGAGAGACTGACGAGGGTTTTTACAACAATGAGAGAGCTAACATGAATGAAGCAAATGCAACTCAATCCAAGATTTCTCTCTGGTTTAACATTATTGATCATACAGTAAATGTGGCTCCCTGTAGAACAAAAAACAATGATCCAGGCCAGGTTTCGAATATGGAAATTGCGATCAGGAGTCCACCGCAGTCATCACTGTCAGGGCGGGGTTGCGCAAGCAGACAGTATGCGAGCTGAGACGAATGTTGAATTAGCGTCAAGGGAAAGATCATTTTATATGCCGATGAAAATCTTTCCAAAAAAGCCCCTATGAAAATTAATTATTTATAATTTTTCTATTGTATTTATCTCTTACTTTCTTTTTTATGTAGAATATCCCGGAAGTGCCGTTATGGTGTATTGGAGACCATGTTCTGCCTCTGTGATGACTATCTACAGCAGAAAAGTACCCTCAGAAGGCGACAAATCAGATTGGAACGCTGTAAACGTATCGGAACATGAACGAAGTTATGCTCTTAACCTTAGTTGTGGCACGGAGTATGAAATAGATGCCAAAGCTTGGAACTCGGCGCCATTAGATCACAGCAACTCTCAGAAAGTGAAAACACCTGGAGGTAAAAGAAAGAGTCGTGAGGTTTTTCTTACCTTGCCAAGTCGTGTGAAAGGTCTGAGTGCAGTAAAATCGATGATAAAAAGCCTTTTACTCAAAAATATTTTGAAGAACTACTTACATTTCCCTCTCCTCGGTGTTGGTGTGATGAAAGAAAAAAGGAATTTGTTCTATTTTTACGACAAAATTCTAAAGGAGCGACAGGAGAAATTAAATGCATTTTAAATTCTTATCAAGGTAACTTGTTTTGCTATTAATATGCTTTACAGAGTCAGTTTTGTCTATTTGTTCTTTCCTGGAGGTCATTTCTGACCAAAGAAAAAAAGAACCCGAGTTACTTCCTTTAGGAAAAAGGCTTACATTTGCAAGTTTTATTAATCAATTTTTAAATGTTTTCATTTCAGACGAACCATTAGCTCCGGTCATAGTAAACAAAGAAGTACACTTGGCATCTAGGTGTGATGTGAACCTGAAGTGGAGTTCCCCAGACGACAATGGCTGCCCATTGACAATGTACACGATCTACTACAGAGATCCTCAATCTTCAAGTCAAGATTATAGAATCAATGTTACCGGGGATACTACTTCGAGGGATCTCCCACCGCTAAAGTGCAACACTGACTACATCTTTAAAGTGACTGCTTGGAACGAATTGGGAGAAAGCGTTCCCTCTGATGAATGGCGAATGAAAACAGGGACTTTGACGGATAATTTCTTAGCAAGAACACTCAGCATTGCTTTACCGTCAGCTTGCGGGCTCCTGGTTCTCTCTACTTTTGGAATTGTTTGTTGGAAAAGGAGAAACAGAAAAACGAGGAAAAGCCGAGGCCATAAGTCCAGGTGGTAAGCTGGGACATCTCTATCAGTATCGCAAATAATCAAGCTTCGCTTTGGATAAGATTCCTTTCTGAGAAGAGTTAATTGCAAAAACATGAAATGTAGATACCGTGGACGTTAGGCGAGCATCAGTTTCAGCGGAGTAACAGCTAGCTCACTCTCTAAAGTATCAAAAGGCTTTATAAACCTCAGGAAGAAATGGGGGGCGTATTGATACGAAAGGAGGGAGGGAGGTGAAGAGTAACCTGCTGAAAGTTAACTTTTTCAAATGTTATTTATCTAATATTTTAAGGATGCTAAACCGTTTTATTTCTAAATTAAGATATCTTATAGACAATTAAAGGCATTCTCTCAGTAGGTGTTTTATTCTTTTAGGTCAAAATCCGACATTGTTCCTCTCCTTCGTAATGAGATTCGACCCGAGCGGGTACTGTTTATGGAGGAACTGGGTCGAGGCGCTTTTGGCAAAGTCTATAAAGGCACTCTTAAAGAAATAGCAAAAGTTGAGGTGTTTTTCAAACCTCGAGAAGAAAGAGTAGTGGAACTTCGCGAAGGAAGAACAGTCGCAATTAAAGTCCTTCTCGGTAGGCGGAAAAAGAATCAATAAGTTCCCTTCGTAGGCAAATACTTTCCAACAATATTAACATGAGCCCGTTAACAGAATGTAGCACTTATTCTTGACCCACATGCATCCTTTTAATTGTGGATTTATTTTTCACTGTAAGACTTGCATGCTCCTGTGAATTCGAGAACACTTTTTCCACTCAGCGGATTGTGGCTTTCCAAAATGCTAGAAACAAATTCAAGGCCGTGTTCCAGGTTCCCTGATAGGCTGTTATACATTTGTACAATAAGATAACCTTTCTTTGCAGCAGACCTCTTTATCAATTTTCACGAGTTTTCTAGTCATGAAAGGAATTAAAACATTCATCGACCTGAACAGTTTTGTTTGCAGTTCCCTAACTGCAAATGTTGATATGAGAACACTCGAAGCGTTCATCAGAACTAGGATTTCTATATTTATCGAGGCTGCTGATTTGTAAGGAAATCATAATTTAGAGATTTAGTATTATGCTACTGATCCTCAAGCCTAATTTCAAAGTGGACTTGCTCATATTGGGAATACAATTTACAGTGCTACCTTCCTAACTCTCCTAATTGTAAGTTGTGTTTGTGTCACTTTTTTCTTTTTTGGGTTTATTTGGGTCGTATTTTAAACATTTCATGTATTTTTTTGACAGAAAATGCTAGTGACGAAGGAAAGGAACTGTTTAAGAAAGAAATTGAGTTTATGAGCCGCGTTGGTTTTCACCGGAATATTCTCAACATGATTGGCTACTGGACGAGGTCAGAACCCATCATGCTCCTCTTGGAATATGTTCCACATGGAGATCTTCTTCAATGGCTAAGAAAAAGAAGCAGACAGGTGACGGAAGTTTGCTGCTTTAACGCTGCTCTTTTATTAAAAAAGTCTACCTTTCTGCTTGAAAAGCATAAGTTGTAAATCTATTCAAAGCATTTTTCAAACTGACTAAAATAATTTGCGATAGACAAGAAATTTTTTTTTGAGGAATGCAGAGGGATTGTCAGGGGAAGAAGGGCGAGGTAGACAATCTTTCTCTTCCCAGGGGTTTTGTTTCTGACTTGTGTATTCAAGGAAATCCGCTTGCTCAAACCATGCATAGGTAAAAATGATTAAAGACTGAGCGGAGTAACAACTAGATGATAACACTAACAATTAAGTATGATGCACGATCCTTCGCAGTAGATAGCGCTATTTATGCAATAGCGAAAATCAGACCTGAAAAAAATCAGGCCTGTACGAGATTCGAACCACTGACCTCTGCGATACTAGTGCAGCGCTCTACCAATTGAGCTAACAAGCCAACTGGGAGCAGGCCGTTAAGTTGATTCGTAATAAACCCGTGATGATAAATCAGATACAATGAATATATGAAGTTCATATATTTTGAACTGCGGTATTAAATACGTATGATGCACGATCCTTCGCAGTAGATAGCGCTATTTATGCAATAGCGAAAATCAGACCTGAAAAAAATCAGGCCTGTACGGGATTCGAACCACTGACCTCTGCGATACTAGTGCAGCGCTCTACCAATTGAGCTAACAAGCCAACTGGGAGCAGGCCGTTAAGTTGATTGGCTCGTATCAATCTGACGAATTTGTATAGGAGGGATCGAGGTAGGGGTTAAGTCTAAAACAGGACCATTTCATTTCATTTTGAGCCCACGCAAAGAAAAACAGACGTGTAAAACAGACCTTGGAGACGTGTTTAATGACTTTTCCAGCGGATAAGGTAGTCTATCTTAATCAACTTAACGGCCTGCTCCCAGTTGGCTTGTTAGCTCAATTGGTAGAGCGCTGCACTAGTATCGCAGAGGTCAGTGGTTCGAATCCCGTACAGGCCTGATTTTTTTCAGGTCTGATTTTCGCTATTGCATAAATAGCGCTATCTACTGCGAAGGATCGTGCATCATACGTATTTAATACCGCAGTTCAAAATATATGGACTTCATATATTCATTGTCACTAACAATTAAATGGACAATTGATATCATTGGAAAGTTCATTACATTTTCAATGTATTTCTCATTAAAAGTGTTAAAGCAAGCTGAGTGTATTTTAACTTGTTCTGACGATGTGTGTCATAAATTGCAGATCAAATGCAAGAACGGCATAGATGGAGTCATTCGTGAATCCGTGACATTTTTTTTTGTCAGCCCAAAAATGTCAGAGAAGGACAATGACAATACCAAGAAAGCCATTAAGATAGAGAAGAGAGCCGCAAATGACCAAGGATTAATCAGCTCTTCGCAAATAGCCCTATCGGTGAACGAGGAACAATCCACTAAAGGGGAGAACGATCAAGTAATTTCACAAATGCCATGCATATGCGGGACGAACATGGCTTCCAAAGGTGTTGATAGGGCTCAGTCAACAACACTTCAAGCTGTTACAGCGCAGCCTCAAGTTGTTAATACTTCTGGAAAAGCTTTAGAAAGTGGCAGATGTGATCAAGCAGAAATTACAGAAGAGAAAGAAAACGATGAAATCGCAATCTCGTCCACAGCTGGTGGAGTTAGTCACAACACAACAAATCTTCCTGGTGGAATTTGTCACGAAAGTACAACTAAACACGATTCGAACAGTGAGAACGCCGCAGAATATAACGAAGGCAAGGAAGGAAAAGTGAAAGATGAAATCACATCAAACACTGATGAAAAAAAAAATTCAACACGAAATCGAACTGCGCGAAGTTTGCCAAAGCCACCGCAAGAAAGAAAAACACAAAAGTCAAGGGAACAGCAAGGACTTGACAATGCCGTTGACTTCTCCGTTGACAATGTTCTTTGTTTTGCATGGCAAATAGCAAAAGGAATGGTATGTCCTTTCTTATGAGAACATTCAGAAAGATCGTGAAAAGATGGAGAAACATATTCACATATTGAAGTGATTGAAATCAAGCCGGTAGGAGGCAAGACCGTGTTCCTTTAAATTCTCCAGTGATTCTCTTAAGCGCATAGATATCGACAGATTAATCATCAATGGAGCAGAGACTAATAATTTCGCCCGGGTTTGTCAGTGAGCCTATATCTCCAAAAAGAGAAGCACTTAAAGAATAATTGGAGTGAGATACAAATAGGCTTAAAAACGATCCCTTATCTACGGCTTACCCAGTGACACCTACAGCGCAGAGGTTCTAAAAGAAGTGTACGCGCTCAGAGTCTGAGTTTTTTCTCGATCGAATATGGGTGCTCTATGTTGACAAAACTTATTGTGAGTATGAGAGAAATTATTATTTGCTTCCGTTCTTTTTCCACACAGGCATACTTGGCCAACAAAGGATTTGTCCATCGTGATCTGGCCGCACGTAATATTCTTCTTGGTGAAGACAGAGTTGTGAAGATTGCTGATTTTGGCCTGTTACGTCACACTTATGGCGACATTTACGAAGTCAAGAACACTACAAAACTGCCTGTTAAATGGATGGCGCTGGAGTCGTTACATAATGGCACCTACACTTCTAAGAGTGACGTGTGAGTAATCAAAAGCTTAGAGTATACTGGCAACTCAAAGAAATGAATCAAAAGACGCAATTGCATAAGCCGAAGGTACTAATATGTCAAGTTCAAATTGCGTCAGCTACTTACTGGAATATCATCAGGTTAAATACTTGGCTCGTTAATTATTCAAACTGAGAGTCTTCTGAGTAGACTCATAGTACTTACTGTTCTCTTTCTGTAGGTGGTCTTTCGGTGTACTTCTTTGGGAACTGTGCACAATGGGTAAGTTATGACATTGCTTTAATCACATTAAAACAAAATGTAGCCAGTAGTTTATAGAATGACAGAGGCTATAAGTTTTCAACAGCTGTAATCATTATGCTAACTTTTCAAGTTCCTAGCTACACTGCCGAGATCAAAGGATCCATTCGACCTAGATGCATCCACTAATAATTTTCATAAGCCATTGACAGCTTTTTCGACTTGAGTTAAGGAATATTTTTAAATAATCTCGAAAACTTTTGTTTCCCCTTCTTTCATATAGGTGGCATTCCGTATCCTGGAATCAGTAACAGAGATTTGTACAATAACCTGAGAACAGGATATCGAATGAGCAAGCCAGACATATGTTCTGACGACCTGTGAGCTTACAAATTCATCTATTACCTACGTCATTAAGAATGAAGTGTGAAGCCCCAGTTACAAAGAATGTAATTCACTCTCTATATGTTTTGATAAAAAAAATCGCATACAACCATATGGTAAACGTGTCATCGCCATGGTAACATAGATTAGGTTAAGTGCATTTATTTCTCTTAGAGAGGTTCACTTTGTACAAAATTATTATTTGAAAGTTGAGCGATATCACTTTTATTTGCTTTTATACTTTTGAGTTCGTTTCGTTGAAAGCGTTGTTATTTGACAATGATGCAGTGTTTTTTTCGTACCAGGTACGAGCTAATGCTTTACTGTTGGAAGGAGGACCCAAATGAGAGGCCATCATTCGATCAGCTGCTGTCGAGAATAGAGACCATGATGACAAAAGAGACTCCCTACTTGGATTTAGAAGAGGATGGTGAAGCTGATCCCTCCTAAAGTGCAACAAAATCCGAAAAAGATAGTTGAATATTATACATGATTAAAATTTGAATGAACAGATGAAGATTTTACTAGGAAATTTGATTCGTTAATTATATCTTTGTTTAAGAATTTTGGTTATTTGAAATCTGAGTATTATAAAAAGTAAAAAGTTAAGATTGTACAAAGTAATCGTTTTTGTGGAGGCAGGAAAAAAGGAATTAGATAACTTGCAATGAACAAGTATAGGCTCAAGTCAATAGCTCTTATTCCAGTTCTGAGTGCGTGGTTTAGTTGGAAGCGATTCTTTGCAAAGCGGTCAACTCACGGGCTTGTCAGCGGGCTCCTTAAGCCACGCGGCCGTCTAATTCCTTCACGTGCGAAATTTGTTTTGATTTTCTACAACGGTTAAAAAGGTAACATTGTATAACATGGATACGCTCTATTCTTTTGCATGTTTTGATTTTGCTTTGGTGAAGCCCGTTCTAGAATGCGAGGAACCTTAAAAAACAAACCAGAGTTTAGGTGCGAAATGTCTTCGTCGGGAAGTGTAAGTTACGGTTCAGAGTCAAGCTTTGATAAAAACAGTACAAACACCTCCACCAAGCTCACTTACTGTCACTTTAGAAGTAGGGTTCGTTGGTAACTTGTCAAACCCTTAATCTACCTCGACCTGTCATTAAAGCGTGGGATAGATTCAGTAGCCGCCATTTTTTCTGTACATGTCTTTTAAAGGAAAGTCTCCGCCATATTGTTCCCAATGTACTACATGGCTCAACGTCGGCATTATGAACATTGCCTGACTCCCAAACAAGTAAAAAAGCATCCCATTCCTCTCGCCACATGTTTGGTTTCAAAATAGTAACTAAATTATACTTTGCCACTCAACTGAATGACCAAATGACACGAGACCGCGCTAACCCAAAAGTGGGGCTAAACCGCTCCAGAACTGTTGAAAATGGTACCCACAGTTCGTTTTGAGCAGATTTAGTAAATGCATCTACATGGAAATTTTGGAGCAACGCGATCAGCAAAATTTAAGCTATTCAATTAATTAACCGTAGGTTAATTAATTGAATAGCTTAGAATAGCTTTGAATAGTTGAGATGTAACAATTTATATCGTCGCCGGACAAATGGACTAATCTGTCGGCAAAGCGTTTAACTTTCATTCAAAAATAATCGGTCTGTTTCTGCATCAAGAACGACGAGGAAAATCCTTCAAAATCCTTCACTTACTAATTCAGTATTGCGAGTGTCTCAATGACAATTTCCAGTGAGATTGCTTTGCAAGTTGTAAGAAAATCTTTTCACTTTCATTTAAGAAATGGATGAGGAATATCGCCCTTCCCCACTGGTCAAAGCTTTTAGAATCGCCTAACTTTTATTTTTCAAGGTATTTTGCTCACATTTCTTTACAACACGATTATTTACAGCACTTTAACTAAAGAAGTATTTGCACTGACCAGTCCTATTTAAGACCATTTTTAGTCGCTCTTCTTTATTAAGAAAAGGGGTTTACAAGCAAATTACAAGACGGAAGTAGTGCGGCAGAGTTTCTCAAGGACGTGGGTCTTGTTAGCTCGCTGTCCACGATGTTAATCGTGGCGCAGTCTCTGCAACGAAAATTAAACCCTTTTTTGTTGGTTCAATTATCTAATTTCTCCTTCACGGCGAATATAAATCCCTTGATTTAGATTAAGTTTGAAATCATTGCTAGGTTCCTTGCCATTTATATCAAAGCCTCAGACTCTTCAGAAAACCTTTCTTCGTATTCATCAAATTCTATTTGTTATTCATCTGTGAATCGTAGTTGCTCGTCTTGTGTTTTCAGTCCATAATTGTCCTCTTGTAAACTGTTCCATTCTTAGATGCAGCTGTTCCCTGACCTTATATAACATTTCTGGAATGAACCAGCAGAGAAATTATCAACGAGTGTAAGAGTCCTTTTATGTAGCTAATCCCTCCATTTGATAATGGGAAAATTAGACTAGATGCATGATCTTATCTTTGTTTCAAATCGCTTTCAGACGCGGAAAAAGGTAACATCTAACCGTCAATTCCTAACCTACAAGAAAATTAGTCTTCATCCGTCAAGGAGGCCATTTCAAGTATAGCAGCAGTTTGCAACAAATTTTACGACTTTTTGGACGTTCTACTATTGCTTTAAAGCTGACAGAAGGACACAAACGATGGTTTCGCCTCGAACCATGTAAAATCCCGAAGGGGAAGCCAAGTTTTGACCACTAGCTTCCTTTAAGATTATACGTAGACTTGGAAATTTAAAATTAAGAAATAAGGCACCGATTACCAATTTTTGCATCATTTCTAACTAAATTCAGAACTAAAATTAACAATAGAACAAACAAAGCTGGGAAAAAATCATTAAGAATTTGCTGCAGAATATATACTTGGTAAACTTCGGCTGTTTTTGAGCATTATGAAAGGAAAATCAAGAGACAATGAACAAAATTTTTATTTAGATGGTAATTTCGTCAGGGATGTGACATGAGGCTTCGCATGTACTCACATCTGTTCCTAGTTATTCACAATAATTTAAATGCCATGGAATTAGCGAATGGTCAGTGGCTCTGATCTTTCATCCTTTCAGAATTCAAAAACGCAGCGGCCGAAGTCATGCAAAACAGATTGTCTTCTCTGATCCGTCCACCTTTCGTAATTGTTAATGCTATAAGCCTAGAGTGAGTAACTGAAAACTTGAAAAATATTAGCAAGAGTAATAAACGCTCGAGGAAAAATGTGACTAAATTAAATCTTTAGGCTGTTGAACGTTCTGAGGACTACTCGTAATTTTGCTTCTTTTGCCGTGTTATCCTGTGCGAAAAATAAATATAAACCATTTGGTAATTTTATCATTTGGTTGCAAACAAAGCCCAAAACTGATGCTGCAGTGACAGCGCTGTCATTCTCTCTTCATTCCATACGTAAATTTGAAAAGATTTTGTAAATTTGAAAAGTGTTTTGAATATGCATAGATGCGCTCAATCATATTTTACACCAACAACAACTTCCTGCGAAAACGCTTTTAATTTTTTAAAAGATATTACGAAAATAAAAGGAGCGTGAAATACGAAAACAACGCAAAGCAACGAAATCATTTTAAGTGTTCTGTATGACCAACATGTGTTACGATTAAAAGATTGTTCCGTAAAAAGTGAAAGCTAAAAAAGGTCGTTTGGAACGTTCAGTGCGGCCAGTTTGTTGAATTACTCCCCATTCCTTCGTAATTTTTTCCCTTTCTAACGTAATAGGATGGGATATTTTTGAGCGATTGAGCGATATGAAGAAGGTGGCCAAAAATTTTACTTCCTGAAGGAAGTTGTCTTATTCGACTTATGAGTAGCCACAAACGAGTCGTCTCGAAAAAATCCTTATTGGATGTCGGTTTTTTTTTTAATCTGGCTTGCTTTGGGGTTACAAGTGCAATTAAAACCAAAGTTAAGAAAAACTCACCAATAACTCTTTTTTTCTTAACTTTTAGATAAAGAACTAGAAATAACAATAAAGCAAGCTAAACTAACAAATAATTTGCTATAGAATGACTTGGAAAGCTTTAGATGTGTATTTACTGAGGAGCAATCCAAGAGGCAATTTACATGGTAAAATATAAGGCTTCTCATGGCCGCTATAAATATGAGGCTACGCATGTGTTCACAGCTGTTTCTAGTTATTTTTTTTTTAATAATTTTAATGCCATGAAATTGGCGAATGATCGATTTCTTGGATCTTTTTAGAATTCAGAAACGCAGAGACCGAAGTCATACAAAAATTATATTTCCTAATCCTTCCACCTTTTGTGATTTTTCATACACTGGCCTGGGCTGAGTAACAAAATACTTAAAAGAAAAAGTAGTAAGAGTCATTTACGCTCAAGGGAAAAAGTTGACTGAATGAAATATTTCACCTGTTGAGAGAGTACAACTTTGCAGTTTTTATCCCTTTCGCCTTGTTAAAAACTACTGAAAACAAAAATTTACCATCTGACGTTTTTCTTTTTTTTTTTTTTCCTTTTTTCTTTTTATTATCATATTCGATTTGGCCGCTGGAAAACGCAGTGGCCAAAGTCACGCAAAAATTTTGTTAGTTGATCTGTCAACTAAGGGGATAATATTGTTTATGTTATAGGGCTGGACTGAGTAACTAAAATATCATCAAGACTAAGAGCATATTAGTTGATATGCTCCTGGCAAGAGTTATTTACGTGCAAATAAAAAGACTGAATTGACTAGATATTTTAAGCTCTTGAGCACTTTGAGGAAAGAGTGTGAAAGTTTATTCCTTGTTTTTCTCTGTTAAAAACATAGATATACCAGCTGGTATTTTTCCTGTTTAGTCACAGAAAAAAAAAGGAAAAAAATGTGGTATAAATAGCAGTGATGCTGTTCGTTTGTTTTTACCACATCTTAACGTCATTTGTGATCTGATAAAATCAGACACATGGAAGAATCAATTGTACCACCAAACAAGATCCGTCGTTCAAGTGCTGAATATCTTCCTCACTTTTAAAGAGAATTTACGTTTTAGAAGGTATCAATAAGTTCCTCAGTCTCAAATAGTTTCATCCTCATTGTTAATTATAACCCCTTATAGCTAAAATCATTTGTATGATTGTGTAAAAAGCAGAAAATCCAGTGAGGTAGCAGGTTTTTCAATTTTTGTTAGCTTCGCTGAGGTTTCAACGTGAAAGATCTCTCTGGGGCACCGATGAGCTGTTTATAGACTTAAAATGCCTTAAATAGAACCTTTAGAAGACCTCAATATCAACGATCTTCAAGCTCAGGAGAGCTTTCTATCTCTCCTTAAGTCATTTGTGAAATTATATTTGTTACTCGTTTTCTAATGATGAAAATTTTAAGTATGCACCCAGACGTACCTGAGTTTCGCGTGCCATAACTGTAAGGAACGCGCCGTCATGTTCATAATTTCTTTTCCAATGGAAGGCAAAAAAACTGTTGCTTATTGGTGGATCGATTACTGTGAATATACGAAAATCATATATCTCAACTGCCGTTTAAGTAATGAATATGAAAGCGATCTATGAACACTACGTAAGCAGTGGTGAAAAAAAGGCCGGTGCGGTGGATTTTTACTGAGCTTGTTGTAAATTGGGGGAACTTGTCATCTTACCGTTTCTTAACAAAAGTAAAAGATTATAATGCGGTACACAATATTCACCGCCTGACCTCAAATATATTTACTACACGCTGCGTGTGGACTTGGAGGACTTTGAAGGGAATATTTGTCATGCTGAGTATAATAGCTTTGGTGTCATGAGTAAGAATGAGAAGTACAGGTTGATCTTTCGTTGTTAATTTCCTTATCATGATCATGAGGTCGGGTTCGGTATTTGAAGACGATCCAAAACATTATCAAAATAAGTCTAACGAGGCTTTGGGAAGGAATGATATTTGGGAAATAACATTACACCTTCAGTCTTCCGTAATCATCTCACTGAGTGTTTGTTGCTCTTTTGCTCTTACCACAGATCTTGACGTCATCTGTGATCTGTGACTCAGTGTGCAGCAAAAGGAAAAAGAGTAGAGGCATTTTAACACGGTCCGTTCTTCAGGTGTTGAACATCTTCATTATTTCAAAAAAAAAATTGCGTTTTGTGAGGTAAGCAGGAAACTTTTAAATATTTTCTTCATCACTGCTTTTTGAAATTATGTTTAATATTATAACTGAAATCATTTGCATGTAAAAGTATCAGAGTACCTGTCGACAGAGTTCATTTTTCGATTTTTTTCGATCTTCTGTTTTTCAACATGAAAGATCTGGCTGAGGGAATTCTACATTTCTAAAATTATTGGTGATTAAAACTTTAAACTAATATAAGCTTCTTTCGAATCTTGATACCTAATGTGGCTTCTTTTCAAATATTGTTTAAGCTCAGCAGAGCTGTACATTTCTCTTTACTTCATATTTTGGTAAAATTTATTTCTTGAATTATCAATTTTTAGTTTTCATCGGAGATATTGGGCCTGAAGATACACTTAGTTTTGGGACTTTGTCAAAACCAGACAAAGTTTCTTTATTTAAGGGAGAGGTAAGGGGAAGGAGGGAAACGAAAAAGTTAAAACAGTTCAATTTTCTTGAGGTCTGTTAGATATAGAACACAACCCAGTTGATTGAATTTGCAGTGGACTTCCCGATTTGTCACAGCAGCAATGCAAAGTTACCTAATTAACTATGCAAAAAATGCAGGAAATGGAGGTTTTCCCAGAGAGAACCCTATATCCTCCAGGGAATTACATTTTTTGAAATTATTAGCGGGGCTCACACGCGCGCTTCGCGCGCGTGGGGCAGAGCCCCATACCCATGGAATATGATCAACCTCTTTTCGTTTGGTTGTCACGTGACTGACCGAGCGTACGTGCCCTCAGATTGCACGGGTAGGGTAGGGGAGACTTTCAAAACGAAGAGAGGGGTGTCTCAGGCGAGTCTTGGCAAATGCACATATTTTATGTTATCATTAATATTACGAACTTGGGAGCTCCGCTTTTAGGCTTGTCTAGATCTATATATTATTTTCACTGTGATTTGTTAACTCATGATACTTAGCATTTGTGCCAAGTTTGAGCCAAGTCGGTGATTTGAGCATTATTGCCCCCTGCCCTTAGGGTACAATCCAAGTTGATGTTTTTCATGCCCTGACATGCACATGCAATTCTATTAGGTCGGTATGGAGATGTGGAGAATAACTGATTTTCTTATCCTCACTTCCTTGATGAACTTGTCAAACGCTTCTGATCAATGTGGCGTGAGAATGGCCCCAACTGGTACAGCTCTTAAAGGCTTCGTCTTCAAATGGATACTTGTAAAAGCTCCTTACATGTGTGATGTGGAGTGCGAAAAAGAGATCAATTGCCAAAGCTACAATTACGTCATGAAGGAGAAGATTTGTGAATTAAACAAACGCACAAAGGAGGCGAGGCCTGAACATTACCGCTTTGATCCTGCTCGGTTTTACGCTCGACGTTTGAAGGGTAGAGGTGTGAATTATGATGTGGATTGTTTCGTGCCTAAATCAAAGAGATTTCCTACACATTTTTTGTGACATTAGAATTTGTTGTGGAAATGAGCAAAGAAATATCAGTTTTTGAGACGGAAGTTTTTTAAGGAGCAAGCCATTTTGATTTACATTGGATGTAACACTCGAGAAATAGAGCGATAGCTATTTAATTCAGCTAGCTACCAGAGAATGAGAGTCACCAAGAGAGTCACATGCAAAAAGAACAAAATTGAGATGTCCTTATGGACGAATGATGGCACCACGCTAAATCAGCACACTTTCTTTTATTTGCATCATTTATTTAGTCAGTCAAATCCATCGTACATTCGTAACAATGCTTGAACAAACAAATTTGCTATCTTGAAGGAAAAAAAAAGAAAAAATAGTTACAGTACGAAGTTGGTGTTGGCTTGATTAAAGACTTTGGTAACATAAATTATATGAAAGATGTTGACGGAATTTTAAATGATTTACTGGGATACAAAAAGTCTCACACACAGACCTACAGAGATATAACATTGAAATGTACCGGAATGGATAATTTATGATATTTTGTGGCATCGAAAAGTAAGCGAACGAACCAAACTCTTATAAGTATCGGTCTTGTGTCCCACCTCTTAAGGCTCCCTTTAATTTTCCACATAAATATTAAACCTGGAACATTTTATCTCAGCTCTTTTGGGCTCCATCAAAGAGTTACCAGCCCGGTCATGTCAAGAAATAAAAGCTAGTGAAGGCAAAAACGCAATCTATGGCAGGTACTGGTTGGATCCAACTAACACTGGAAAGGCAACTTTGTATCACTGCGACATGTTTCCTTTTGGTAAGTTGGTGACGGCAAACTTAGCGATAGTGGAACATTTGTTCATTAGAAAATTATTTGACAGGTCCTAGTATTTTCTCCCGAGTTGTTTTGATAACTATACTTTTAAAAAATTATCTATTAAAAACGGAGTTTAATATGGAAGTCGTGAGCTAAATCCTTGTTTGTCTTGTCTGTCCCAAAGTATCTTGTGGTCATGGTGGCTTATTATCTCTTCTAGCCAGAAACTGTGGTGAAATATACCGATATGGTTTAGAAATAAACGGTGTCTATACCATCAAACCGGATAAAATGCTTGGCTTTGAGGTATTTTGTGACCATAAATCGAGTGACCCGAGCTAATAATACCATCTAAAATTGCTTCTTGGTAGTCGCAAATTCAGCCACTCAAGCTTAGTTGTGAATAACCACAGGTTTTGCAGATGGGACAGTTCTAAGTCGTGTAAGTCTTGTTTGAATTATATATAGTGTTACTGAAAGGTGCCCTTTAATGAGGGTTTCTAACTTTCCTTTCAAGAGTTCAGAAACTGTGCTGAACTTTATAAACATGCTGATTGGCTAAAAACTGACGGTGTGTATACCATTAAACCTGACCAAATGTCTGCCTTTGATGTCTACTGTGACCAAACAACTGCTGGCGGAGGATGGACAGTGTTCCAGAAGAGACTGGACGGCTCGGTTGATTTTAATCGTAACTGGAGCGACTACAAACGAGGCTTTGGTGATCTGAATGGTGAATTTTGGCTCGGACTGGACAAGATTCACCGTCTGACCTCAGATAACAACACCATACTGCGCATAGACTTGGAAGACTTTGAAAGGAATACTCGATATGCTGAGTATAAAAAGTTTTGTGTCAAGAGTGAAAATTACAAGTACAAAATGAGTTATGGTTCTTATTCAGGTAATCTGGTAACTTCCTTGTTATCGTGTGATAGGTGTACGGTCATTGGAGACGAATAAAACGGGACATTTCTTTCGGTTTATGATGCTTCTTAACTTAAAAGGCGAACATGGTATGAAAAATAAAATAAATTAATTAAACACGCTGATAGAAAAAAGCAAAACAAAACAGGGTAGTAATTCTTCATCAGTTCATGGTTCTTCTTATCTGCGTGGTTGGATGCTCAGTGTTAAGCAAAGGGCAGTCAAATGCTCTGGAAACCAATTCATTTAAGGCCACTTTTTCCATCTTAAATAATTCCTCGTTTGTTGGTTTAATTTTCTAGGAGATGCAGGTAACTCTCTTGGTTGGCATAGGAATAAGCCATTCTCCACCAGAGATCAAGATAATGATGATGGCAAACGCTATAACTGCGCTGTTACGTACAAAGGAGCCTGGTGGTACGCCAGTTGTCACGACTCGAATCTGAATGGTTTGTATCATCATGGATACCACTCCTCCTATGCTGATGGTGTGAACTGGAATCACTGGAAGGGACATCACTATTCGCTGAAGAGAACGGAAATGAAAATAAGACCAGTGGATTTCTAAATGTTCATGTTCTTAAGTGTTCAAACACTGCATAATGTACACTAGTTACTCAGAAAATACTGGCTCTGAACCATACCAAGGTATATCACGCATTTTTAATAGCCCATTTCCAAATTACCTTGGCCTCTCAGTTTCAAAGAGAGTCCTGGTGCTCATCCTTTCATATGATTACAAGTTTTCTTACAAATGCAAATGAAACTCATTCTCATACGAATTGTTAACCACCAGGTCAGGGTTGGCATAACTTTTGACTGTAACCCCTAGTGTTTGATCAAGGAAAGCGTGACGTCACAAACGCGTTTACGTTTCCCTTGTCTAAACGAACGTATCGACGAATAAGAGTAATCTCTTTCCTTATAGAAACTTTTAGAAATCAGAACGCAACGTAACTTGAAACGAAACACAGCAAAGCAGTAGGAGAAAAGGAAAAAGATTATATGGGTGCTGCAAAATAAATTCAATGTTTTGGACTGCGTTACACTGTTTTGATTTGTCAATATTGCTTACCAACGTTCGCGGATCTTTATTACTTTATTGAGAATTACGGTCTAAACTTGTCTTCTATCCCAAAAGTGATCTTGATTACCGCGGGTCTTGTCCGAAACTGAAACGCTAATTATAATTTTCTTTCTAAAAAGCACTAATCACGGAGGCGTCAATCTGTTCAGAAAATATTTCGCAGCTTCTCTAGCTCGGAGGCAGTAACATTCAGCTTTAACGGATGCGGTTACACTGAGGGATACATGCTTTTCTTTTATTTATCTCTATGATCGTCGAGGAAGTGCGAAGCAGAAAATACCACAAGATGGCTGAAAAGGACTCTTTTTTCTCTATACAACTATTCTAGCCAAAGTTACAACTAGCTTGGTCTACTTAATTTCCTGAACACTTAGTTAAACTGATCTAAAAGAAATGAGCATCCTTACAATCTTTTTTATGGATGTCGTGGACTACTCAGACCTCCTGGCCCATGCAGAAGCTTTGATGATCACCCACCACGGCTGATGCGTTTCTTATTTACGTTTTTCGTCTGTGAAAATGTTTGTATGAGTTCGGAATGGAGATGTGTTTTTCTTTTTACTCCTCTATCGCGTTGATCTGAATAAACGTTTAAAGAACGTATTTCTCTCATCAATTTACTAGTCATCATTCATATGATAAATTTTGGCTTTGTTTAAATGTTTTGCGCTTAGAATAAATTTGTCATCGTCACGTAAACGCCGAAGAGCATGGGTAAAATCATTCATAGATAGGACTCAAAGCTTTTGAAACAAGACTTAGAGAGGTTTTGTTTCAGAACTTAGCTAAAGCACTACGCAGTCGAGACAAGGAGCCTTTTTTTTAACTCAAATGTTGACTTAAATAAGTCAACGAAAATCAGCAGTACTATGCTGAAATTAATATCGCTACCTTTTCAGAAGGGGAAATATTAGCATTAAATTTCGCAAGAAGGCTCTAAGGTTCCACATATTCTTAAGTGTTGTCGAAGGACGTAACGCGAGCTATGATACTTTGGTAAGGCATTCGTGAGTAAGCAACATCAGTCTTGAGGGAGTTGAACCTTTACATATACAGGCTTATTTCAAAATCTTTTTTAAGACCAGAAACTTTCGGCCCTTTGAGTTGAAACACTCCATTTAAACTGTCATAGGAAACTAGAAAGCAGTTGATATTCAAAACAGTAAATGAACGAGGAGAAATNCCAGTTTTACCAGCATAATCGAGAAAGGTCTATGGGTGACCGCTATGTACAAGTTCGACTGACCGCTGTTAATTGGCTGTCTTGTTCGGGTAGATTGCCAAACAGTTATTTTGTCATTGAATCGAAAACCACAAATTCATTGCAATAAATTGTAATTATTTTTATTTGCTTGCTTGTTAAAAGCCCACAGGAATTGCGCTGACCTATACAAAGCTGGTAAAACAACAGACGGTGTTTACACCATTAAACCTGAAAAAATGACTGCTCTTTCTGTATTCTGTGACCAAACAACAGCTGGTGGAGGATGGACAGTAATCCAGAGGAGAATGAACGGCTCGGTTGAATTTTACCGCTACTGGCATGACTACAAACGTGGATTTGGTAAACTGGATGGTAGATTTTGGCTCGGACTGAACCCGATTTGCCACCTTACCTCGAATAATAACAACACTCTGCGTGTGGACTTGGAAGACTTTGAAGGGAATACTGCTTTCGCTAAGTATAACATGTTTGGTGTCATGAGTGGGAATGACAAGTACAAGCTGATCCTCGGTTCTTACTCAGGTAAATTAGTAAGTATCGTAATTAAAGCAAGGTGGCAGTGTGGAAATTGTTAAAGATTCCTCACTCCTTCACTGTGGACAGCCATTGACCCAAAAACGAAACATGTTTGACACCAATACCGACGTGCACGACTAAGTCTACTAAAGCTAGCCTAGCCAACTAGTGTTTGCTTTTATTATCTCTGTACTCATAGTTTTAGAGATGAGTCTTGCTGTGATTACTTCGAGGTGCGAGCGTTAAAACAAATGATGCTACCTTACTCCTTCGGTGATGATAGCGTTTCATCTCAACTTGGACAAAAGAATAGTTTATAAAACTGCAATTCAAGCAATTGAAGAAAAGAACACGTGCCTCTCAGATATTTGTTTAGCGTAAGAGAAAAAAAGGGAGTAGAGAGGGAAAATCAGGGCGTCGGCCAGGATGTTTTGATAACGCTGAAGTTCAGTTTGTAGCTTAATGTGGAGAGCGAAGTCTGTTTTCACGGACGTCCACATTGGGTTTAAGTGACGTAGTTTCGAAAACGCAATCTCCCAGCTGTTCGCCAATATACCAGTCGAAGTCACAGGCGACCGAGGTTCACAGAAAGAAAACGGTTTTCCTTTTTGCACTGACGAAAAGCCAAACAAATAGTGATTCGAGATACATGCAAGTGCGCATGTCCGTAACGATCGTTTGAATAAGCAAACCGTGACTCTAGCCCCGCAGCATATGGAGGTGTTGCGCCACTAGGGTTCTAATTCATGAAAGTTAAAATAACGAAAAAATGGGGTCCTATTTTTAGGTAAATCTCAACATTTTGTTATTTAATTGATGGAATTATCACTTATTTCTTAACTCATTTTCCAATAGTTTGTCTTACATGTCAACGCAGTGATAAGATGGTACGGTTAAGACGATAACGTTATCATAGTAGCAACATGAATCAGGTTTCACTTTGCGTTTCGGGACCCTTTTGCACATAGAAAATAAAAATGGCTGAGCCACTTGTTTTAAACTAATAACTAAAGTCGCTCGAAGAAAGCTCGTAGTGGTCGTTACCTAAGGAGATCAGATTGAAATTTTACACCGACGCCTCAGAACACATACTTATTCAAGTATAGATCGATAGTGCTTAATTTTCCTTCACAAAGCGTGAATAAGCCTATCGCATTTTCCTAAAACTATCACTTTTGCCACTTGTTTTAAACTAATAACTAAAGTCGCTCGAAGAAAGCTCGCAGTGGTCGTTACCTAAGTAGATCAGATTGAAATTTTACACCGACGTCTCCCAACACAAACTTATTTATGTATAGATCGATAGTGCTTAATTTTCCTTCACAAAGCGTGAATAAGCCTATCACATTTTCCCAAAACTATCACTTTTGCCATCTCATCTGCCATTATTGAATATATGTAATGCTTTTTGGTCAGGAACTGCCGGTGATTCCCTCGCTTATCATCGGGGTCGGCTATGGACCACTAGAGACGAAGATCATGATGCAATCCCGGGAAACTGCGCTGAAAACCACCACGGAGGCTAGTGGTATGGAGGCTGTTTGCACTCCAGCCTGAATGGCCTATATCATGAACAGTTCCGCCCTGACCCGACTGACGGAGTGATATGGGCAGCCTGGAAAGGATACAACTATTCTCTTAAAACGACTGAGATGAAATTAAGACCCGTGCATTTCTGAGTTGTGATGACAGTTTCTTCATAGCCAAATAGCTATTGGTGTAAGTATCACTCAGTATCAACCAAATGAAAACGACAGTTACGTTTTTTTCGATGAACGCTGGTAACATTTTTCTTATGTATTATTGCTATCATGACGACGTACGGCCGATTTTCTCTAGTGTTACTCTGCATTGAAACAAAGTACAAAATGTTTTTCTCACTTGAGAGGTCTTTCGTGTGATTGCATTTTTCAGAAGCATCAAAATCTCGGCCAGTAACCATTTTTAAAAAACAATCTTTCAGTCTTTTTGGTCACATCTTGTAGGACCGCGATGATGAAAATTGAACTTACGACTCTTTAATAATCAACAAATCAGAAGGCGTGCGTTTCTATGATAAACTGGGAACACTTTGTGTACATACGTGATGCTACCCACTCCTTCTTCCCCTCCCCTCCCCCCCCCTTTTGCATTAGGCTGATATAGTCTATCTTAGGCTCACAGTTAACGGAAATGACCAAAAGGGTGGGCGTCCGAAATAAAGGTGGAAGTAAGGCCAGGGATAAATCACGAAGCCGTTTCCTTAACAACCACAGACGCTATTAATCGTTTTCCTGCTCTTTCGTTGGCTTCCACTGACTGAGGGCCTGTAACAAGGAGAGCTGATCTCACGCCGCGGCTCTTACTCTACTCCCGGTACAGGCTAACTGACGTGGCTGCTGTTCTTTTCAACTTCGCCGGGATCGATTGACTTAAGAAGACCTTTATTAGGATTTCTGTTGCCAATTGGGGCCTTTTGAAAAATCATCAAGATGTTAATTTCCCTTCATCTTGGAGGAATAACAGTGTTAAACCGAAAAAAAATAATGGGTAACAAACAACAAAGCTTAAGAGTAATAGATGAAGGCAGCCTTGGAACCAACAACTTAAATGATTCCATGAGTCATGTGAATGGATGAGAATGAATGGTGGGGGATTTTGTAAAAACATCTTGCAACATGAAAATCTCGCGAATTTTAGGTTTTGAAAAATTTGCGGAATGTTTTCGAACGGCAAAAACAAGCTTATGCCAAAGTAAAAGGAAAAAGACAGAAAAAAGGAATGAATGAACAAACGAAAGAATGAATAAATGACTGAATGAATGAATGAGAACTTCGTCTCTGAACCAAGTGTCAAGGCGTATTCTTCGGAAGCTCTCGAAGAATCCATCTGCGAATCGTCTTCATTGCATTTAACTCCCTTCTCAGTTGAACTTGAAGCTGAAAATCTACATATTTCAATTGTTATTTTTTTCCTTCTCCATGTTTCGTTGCAAGAACCGGACGATCGAAGAAATTGGTTCCCAGCGAAATTTCTAAGATTTCAAACGGCAAGAATTTGTTTTCACATAACACACACACGGTCACATACACAATGAATCACCTATTCGCTGAATAAACTCCCGCAAAAGTTTCACCCTCCACGTGTTAAGAGTATTTAGACACCGCGTCCGTTGCAAATCGCGAAATCCTTTCAGGTCCAGTCATGTTTTAAATATCGATGTGCCACCAAAAACAGAAAAAAAGAATCAAAATCCAAGAGACAATGACAATATAACTCAAACAAAAAATAGCTACCATGTAATTTTAAATATTGAATCATTTTTCACACTAGTTCGCAAATAGACTTTGCCATGCACAGTATATCAATATTTCTTGCGAGCCGGCAGATTTTTGAATGGAAAATATCTTTAATTAACTTTCCGTCTTAGCTTAAAACTGCAAAAGATGGCACTTAAGTAATAAAAGACTCACACGAGTACTGGTTTCCTTTTTACGATATGGGCATTTAGCTAGCTACCAAACCACAACACAAAGGGAAATTATGACAGAGTCTCGATCTTCAAATAAAAAATATAAGTTTTATTTCGGGCTGATTTCGCACCCCTTAAAGATATTACACAATTCGTATTTTAATACATCACAATCTCGGAGTCGTGGCTCCGATATTTAATGTTCGTTAGAAACCTTTCGCTTTTTTATCCTTATAAACTTACAGTATGCAACTCTAACAACATAAATATAACGTATGGTTTGAGCTATGAAACAGAAGTAAGACCCATTACTTGTCTTGAAGCTTGCAAATCATTCGAATCGTGTTGTGGATCGGGTTTCTTTTCGCGCCATAGATATTTCTCTCCTCGAAGTTTCCAAACTGTTTCAATAAAATGACGGCGAACCGTAATCGGGTCATACTCATGGCGCCCGTGAGTGTTCTGGCATCCTTCACGGCTACAGCCACACGGAAAACTATCTCGATCGACTTGACAATTTATTCCATTTAAATAACAACTGCATGAGTCGGGCTCACAGAAGTCTTTACACGAACATCCGCAAATTTGCCGAGAATACCTAATTTGCATACAGTCAATAGCTTCTTGTTTGTTGATTTTCTTTACGCCGGCCGCTTTCAAAATGTCTTTGCGATCTTTTTGAGAAATGGGCATAAAACTGTGTTCATCGTCGCTGTCCACACTATCATAGGAATCTTCTGTATCACTTTCGCTCTGATCTTCTTCGGATATCAGAGTTCTTTCGACAAAACTGTGTTTATGTTTCATCCCAAGCGTTGTTCCACCGTTCGAAGGCACACACGTATAGCCTTGTGTACGAGGAAAATGGAATACTGTTCTGTCGCTGAAACGGACACGTCGATTTCGTTTCGCACTTTGATATTCCTCGACATTTCCCAAACTGTCAGCGCTGTCAGAACTAGTTGTACTCAAAGAATCTTCTTCTTCCAGTTTCCTCTTCGACATTTTCGCCCTGTCCTGTTTTTAAGGCTTAGCCCCGGTAAATTACCAAAACGATCGAAAATTCACAGTGGCAACTTGATTTTTTATGCGAATTGACAGCTTCCCAACAGGTGCAAAGCTACCATTGAGCGGGAAGTATTATTGGACAGTGGATGCATTGTTTTAAAGGAGCCGTCAATGAAAAGAATGGCTGATAACTCTCATTCATTATTTATTCCCGATTGGATAAGACTTCTAACACCTATTTCCTATTGGCTGGGAGAACAAACAATTTTCATCACTGAAGACGGGAGGCGAAAGCTCCTGCCACGTCTCCAGACCACGTGTTTATCTTGCGAAACTGTAACAACTTCAGGTCGAGGCGCGTTTCACTCGTGTGGGAAAACCATGATCAGTGTTATGTAAAATTTATATGTTATGTTGAAAGAATAAAAACATTAGCTGTAACATGTGGCAAGCTATAACTGAATTAGCCGACTGAATATGCATGGAAGGTCACCCCAAATATAAATTCAATAGAATATTCCACAAGGAAAAAAGATAAAACCGTACCTGTAAGTCGAAAGCAAGTACAAAATTTATTTTCTCTATTTTCTAACTGACAGTTTGACACCTTTTATAGGAGGTTCGACCAAAGTGTGATGCAACAAGTTTCAAACCTGGTTTCGCACATAACTTTCCCTGAGTTGACCTCAAGTATCATTTGTCTTTTAGCACCTTTTAGTCACGGGCTACATCGATTCCATGATCCAAGATAACGATTTTCCTTTCATGTCTGCGACAAAAGAAAATTGTGGTTTTTGGAAAGGGCTCAAGATTTGAAGTCGTGCATCAAACAATCCTTGAATTTAGCTCAGCCTGGAAGAAGAATTTAATAAGGACAATAAAATAATGCACGCATCCTCACGGCCGACAATTCACTGTTATTCCAAGCCTTTGCGATAAAAAGAATGATTAGAGAAATGATACATAGCGACGGGTTAATGAAAAGGTATGCTGAAGATGACTAAAATTACAAAGTTACTTGTAAAAAGAAAACTCTAGCCGGATTGATTTGGTTTATGTTTGGAGTTTTTGAAATCCCCTTTAGAACACATTTCCGTTTAGAGTTCGGCCGACTTACCAAATATAGGTCGCTTTGTTATGGTGTCAGCTTATACGACATGAGAATGTTTCAGGATTTCCATTGTAACATTTTCCCATTCTGTTCTTCTTTCTTATACAGGGAAGACCTTTGAAATCATACAAGAGGTCTTACCAAGTCCAAGCCCCAGACTTCCGTTTAAACTTCTCGCAATGTGATTGGATGAACGATGGAACTTTCGATCCGTCAACGTAAACAAACCTTCGTTACGTATTCACTTTCTACTTAAATTCCGCCATACCTGTTGACTTCTCCTCATTTAACAGTCTTACTAATTTTCTACGAGCAAAGATACACAGTAAATCATGTCTGGACGCGGAAAAGGTAAAGCTAAGGGTACCAAATCGAAAACACGTTCTTCTAGAGCGGGTTTACAGTTTCCGGTCGGCAGAATTCATCGTTTGTTGAGGAAGGGAAATTACACTGAGCGTGTCGGCGCAGGTGCCCCAGTTTACATGGCCGCTGTTTTGGAATACCTCTCAGCTGAAATACTGGAACTCGCTGGCAATGCAGCTAGAGATAACAAGAAGTCTAGAATTATACCACGCCATCTTCAGCTCGCTGTTCGCAACGACGAGGAACTGAACAAGTTGCTTGCCGGTGTAACCATCGCTCAAGGAGGTGTATTACCGAACATTCAAGCGGTGCTGTTGCCAAAGAAGACCGAAAAAGGAGGAAAAGCCCCTCACTAAACCTTATACATTTGCTTGGAAAGCTAACAAGTTACCTAATAGAGCCGTTGAGATGGAGAAAGTTTAAAAGGCCTGTTGAAAGTGGTTTAAATTCCAAGACTAAAATTTATTTTCCCCAATCACATATGAACGAAAAAAGATAATTATTTTTTTTAATTGATCAGCAAAATAGAGTGTATCAGGGTAGGATTTCCGCGATTCCGTGTAGTTACTTACCCTCTTGTCATGTCATAAGCATACGGATTTTGGATGAAGAAAACATTGTCTTCGGCGAAAACAGTGATTTCCCTTGAGACAAGGGCTTTGTTTCATAATAGTAGAATACTGAAATCTTTCCCATTTCATGAAGAGAACGCTCAAATTGTGGCACTCTTCAGTTCCTAGGAATTCTTTAGTTGCCACCACAGTTAAGAATTACATATCTGTTGGTTATGACAAGTTCATTATACGCAATCCAAACAGTAATGGAGGTTGTGTTTTATTTTCCGGCATCGATGTCAAACCCAACTATGTCAAGGTGACCGACAACTTACAAAGGCGAAGTTATTTACTCTAATAAATTCTCTGTATCGTCTTTCACTGTTGGTCTTCTGCTTTCACAAGTAATCCAGAAGAAGGGTATCCTCAATTTTCTGACTTTTAAAGACAATAATTTAGCAAATTCTTGGAAAATTCCTCTGAATAGTGCATATATGAGGAATTGAATCAATACGAGTTTTCTTTAATGAAGTGACGAGTTCCACTTAGCCATAAAAACAACATAATCTTCTGAGATTTTGCTTCCAATAAGGGTCACAGGTAAGGGGTACTCAGACTTCAAATTGACAAAAGGCAAAAATCATGTAACTATTTTTCTTAGTTCTTTTTTATAGAGTCCAGGGCTATTTGCAAAGCACTTCCTAAGCATTAATACCTTAAGGAGAAACAGGATTTTGGTCATTCTTAGAGTTTCAAAGAGTAGAAGCTTACCCACACAGGTTGTTGTCCATAATTTGCTATATGAAGTATAAAAAAAGAAACTTTGGTAACCGCAGTCCAATTAGTTGTGTTAAGCAGGATTTGCAAGAGAGAAAACTGTAAGAGGAGAGAGCTGATCACAAAGAATATTATTGAGAACTATACAAATTGGTTTGTGATTTTAATCAATTGCACATACTCAACATCAACATGTGATACAATATTACTCCATTCAGCAAACAGTTTCAACCCACATAACTTGGCAGTGCTGTATGTGGAGCAGTATTTAACTGGTTGTTTCAATACCAAAGTGTTCTTTCAATGTCACTGTGAAAATGAAATATTTATGAAAGAGTTACCTACTGTGAGAAATTCTTGTTTATTACAATTAATGCAGACATTCAGTTCAAACATCCAATCCAAAAATAATTTAGGCATTACATCTGCAGTTACAAAAATTAAATTTTTAATGGTATAAATTTTATAGTCCCTACTTGAGGAAATAGTTCAGGGAATGAATTAAGAATATGCTCAGTTTCAGTATTTCAAATTAATTATAGTAACTCAACCAATGAATTCTATGACAAACTCAAAATTCCTATCTGAAGATAAACATTCCCATATTAGCTTTTGCAGGAGGTACTCAATGTAGTTCAGTACAAGTGACAGACTGGAAATTTCTGACTTCCTGCAAAGCAACCCTCTGATCAGTGTGGCAGTTGTCCTATTCCAACAAACATGACTCTCTCTCCCAAGGGCAAAAAATTGAGGACACTGCCTGTAAAAAGAAGCCAACTGCCAAACCTTTTTTTAGAAAAGGGGCTACCCTGGATGCAAAACTGACCATAACATACAACAAAGCCACTTCATTCCACAAACTAAGCCAGTGTTGTTGAGAAATTCAAGTCCCCATTGTTTGATGTCACTTCTTCAATCAATTTTGAGGAGGCCTGGTTCTGATTGTCCTTCGAGTCTGTTCATTGACATCTCAACTCTCATTAATGGTAACTATACGTTTTCTTACAACGACAACAATGAGAGTTTGTGAATATCAGATCAATTTTACAAGGTGATCATTTCCTTAATTCTCCTGGCATTTACTGATGATGACCTCCCTTTAAAATGGGGAGAAACTGGGTGCACATCATTATTGGGGCAAAGGTTATTTAAATGCAAAAGGAAAAAATTTAAGGGTAGGACTGTCACAATAAAGTTTGTCTCCTTTTTACTATCAGCTCTATGGCTTTTCTCAAAGAACAAGTAAGGTTCAGCTTGATTTGCATCTGAACAAAGCTACAAGAAAATCGTTGGGATCACATTTCAAAATTTTCAATTCCTCCTCATATTTAAAAGAAAACAAACTAACACCCAAAGCTATCTCCATAATTCAAGTATTTTAAGTATAAAGAGGCTATGCAAAGTAAGAATTTGCATCGTGTATAGGGTGAAAAAGTAGGATATAACATCCACAATTCCTAATTTGAAGCAAACCACAATAGGATCAGCTCCAGCTATAACCAAAATCCCACGACTAAAATGCCAGAGAAGATTGTGTACTAAGGACAAGCCTGGGTTCTTAATAAAATCAATGGCTCTTCTGGTTTCATTGAAGCGTAATTTTGAGAGGTTAAAATATTTTTGCACTTTTCACCCCTCAACTGACTTCTAACTTTACAAAATGGATCTCAAAATGTCTTCTCCCTTCATCCAAGATGACGATTAAGAGTATGGTACACTGCTACTTCTGATTTTGGTTATATTTTATCTTTGCTTTATTTCTGAAAGACATTCTGAAAAGAATTGTGTGTTTTCATAGGATCTGACCCAGACTTAAATACATTTCTTCCAGTCTAGCTCAAGGAATATGCATCTAACTTGGTCTGCCTGGAAAATCCAAGAAATGTTTCACAAATTAGGAGTTTTTCTGCAACTGAAATAGGAATTATTGTTATGATCACTGTAAAATAAAGTTGGCTTAAGATAAAGAATTTATTAAGTTTAGTAATAGAATGTACATTCTGCCTAGGAAAGGAGAAAAAAACTCCTACTTGGCAACATGTCTAAAAATTCAGAAAAAACATTCTTTGAAATATATCAACAGGCCTAACTGAAAATCTGAACGAAAAAGATCATGGTAATCCATTTTATATACAATACATTGAGGAATTCATCACAAATGCAGTTTTCATTGACATTGGATAATTATTTATTACCTGCATTCACCTCCATAAATTAACACCTACCCTAATAATATAATTAATATTAAAAAATAACTCCTTGGGAACCCCTCAATTGCTTGTTGCTCAATTACTATATTCATTTAAACAAAGCAACCAAACAGATTTCCAATAATTCAAACACACTTGTGTGTAAATTTGATTGCTACACAAAATATCTTAGAAAATGTACAATTGGCATATGTCATTTTACGTCAAAAGCATTCCCCCTCTGCTTCTTCTATTGGATCTGACGATTCATTCAACTCCTGCAAGTCAAAGAACAAAGAACATTTCAGTTTGGAAAAGAAGAAAGTGAGTGTAATCCTTGTTTACCTTCACATTGCAGTCATTTTAAATGGTCACTGAACTAATGAAAATTTGTCTTAAATCATGTGCATGATTTCAAAATCAAGTTAACATGACCTTAGTCAGTACAATTCTCTCAGGGCCGTTATTCAAATACTGTAAGGAATTAAATTCATCCACACAATTTCATTGGTTACTTCAGACAAGCCTTGAGATCTAATTGGTTGATTTGTTTTTAGTCTTGCTTTCTCATTAGCTGCAACTACAAGCAAAAACTGGTGAAATACACAAACAAATTGCACTTCTGAGAGACAAACAGTTTGTAAGGATTACTACTGATTTCAATATGGATTTAATTAAATGTAAATTGCACCGTATAAAATGTATCCTGCAAGTATCCAATTAAAGTGCTGAAAAAGACAAAATTAAATACATACATATATACATTGTAAACATCAACACTACATTTGACATTAATAACCTTGACGAGCAGTACCTCAAAAGAGCACTGAGGTTCCTTCTCCCCATCAGATTTCAAATCTTTATGAAGTTCTTCAGATGTGTCACCTGTATTTGTGACGTCTTGAGATTGTAAATCTAACCTCCTTTCCTCCTCTTCAAATTCAAATGCTGTACTTTCAGAATCTGTATCAAATACGGTTCCAGAGGATGATGACTCTTCTAATGTTTTCTGATGTAAGTCCTCCAACAGTTCAGTGTTATTAAAAGTTTCAGTTTTATTTTCTTCATTTATGCTAACTTCATCGGCTCTGTTTTCCCCTTCATCATCAGGTGTAAGATTTTCAAGTTCGCAATCTTCTTCAAGGGCACAGCTTACTTCCTGCAAATCAGCCTGAGCAGTATCCAAACTTGTCGTTTGACCCTCATTAGTAAGATCCAATGCATCTTCCTCCACCCCAGCAAAGTACCTGACATCCCTGTCTGGATCATATTGAAGCCTCTGCAGAGCAGAAAGAATGGTCTCTTTGCCCTCTGCATCATTCTCTTTGAACAGTTCTAAGATGCACAGAAAAAAAAAAATGGAGAGACTGTAACTAATCATGCAGAGTGATGCTTATACCATGCTAAAAAAAAGGAATGCATGATCACAACTGTACTACATCACAAAGTTCCAGGGATGTTGCATTTTCATAATAAAATTTAATCTGTTGGTGGCAGTGCATTTGAAAGGAAGGTATCACTTTCCATATTAAGTAAATTTAATAAGATTGAGTGAATATATAAAATAAGTAGAGTAGGCTACAACCAACAATTGAAATTGCAACATCCCTTCATTTTGAAAATTCAGCTTCTCAGATGTAAAAGCTATAAAAAAAAAAAAAGAGAATCCTGTCAAAACAGCCAAATACTTCTGCATACATAGGTATGTGACTGGCCAGTTTGGTATATTTTAGCCTAAAAAGATGATAATAATAATAATAATAATAATAATAATAATAATAATAATTTATTTCTTATAGAGCGCTATTTACAATGACAGATCAACAGCGCTTTACAATTAATGTACTAACCCACTCATCCCACCCCAGGGGAGGACATCCATTGCACAGTAATCTCGTGCGTGGGAAATTAGCATCTCCTACCCCTAACCCTACTGAAGACAGGACCCCTAGTTATTCGTCCCTATCCGAGAAGACTAGAATATCTAACCATTTCTTGATGTTATAGAAAGGTAGCATATTCTTCTCAATTATTTTAAGACCTTGAGTGTTGGTCCAGCCGGGGCTTGAACCCTCGACCTTGCACACTACAGTCCAGCACTCTATCCATTGAGCTAACCTCTGAAATTTGAAAGTTTTTTTGGTTGCCAAATTACAATGTATTACCAGAATATGTATTCTAAGGTAAATGTTGCAGTTCCAAAGGGTTGTATAAAAAATCAAATCCAAAATTTGGCATTTAAGTCATTTAACCAAGGTTCCTTTTAGATTGAAATGGAAAGGGAGAACTTGAATTTGGGTTGTGCCTCCACAGAATAAGGTGTCAACTTAAGATGGGGTTGCTTGATACAGTATTCACTGGAATTCCCAAAAATTCAGTCATCTCAAACTGCAAAAATTTGTTTCCATTAAGCACAAAAAGTTGTGCATCATAAAAATATACATTAAGCTTCTAAAACAATTTCAGGGCAACATGGTATGCATTTAAAATCATTACAATAAATGCACTGTACCTAAGACTGTAACACTCTGTGACAAAGTCCTGGCTAAACTGAGTCGAACATTGGGTACAGGATCCGTTAGGAGATACAACAAACTTGGTAAAAACTCTTTGGAGAACTGTTCCCCCGTTTCAACATTTTCTTCCAGTAAATTTTGGCAGAGTTGTGCATACCTGTGAAATAACTACAACGCATTAAGTTAAGTCTGGAACTTTTCCTCCATCTACTAACCACCTATACCACCAAGGGCAGTTTCCCCCCTTAATTCAAATGACAGCTCACTGCATGTAGGAATAATATCAATCCTTGGAAACCTTCATCTACAAGTACAATGTAGAATCAAATTTCAAGTGGGTCCTACAGATACATTTCTGCAGAAACTCCTTGTCTATTAAATTTTATTTTATTTTTTGTTTTCTTGTAGGTACAAGTGGATGTCATAAAAACAAGAAAAAGAGAAAATCATTGAGCACCTCCACACACATACAGGATGACAGCTTTGAAGATTTAAATGAATAAGAAATTTAACCCCAAAGGCTAGCCTATTTGCAGTTTTATTATGTACTGCAAGCACATGTGCTTTTAATGTACACAGGCACATATTTGGGATGAGCCACAAGGTCTTGCTTTGGTCAGAAAAATGTGTCTACTATTTGTCCCTCGAGTATCAATCAGCTGAAAGTCTAATATATAGATTTAGCCAAGCCTAGAAGCGGAGCTCCCAAGTTTGTAATATTAATGATAACATAAAAGATGTGCATTTGCCAAGACTCACCCGAGTCACCTCTCCCTTCAATTTGATAGTCTCCCCTACCCTACCCGTGCAATCTGAAGGCATGTACGCACGCTCGGTCAGTCATGTGACAACCAAACAAAGAGGTTGACCATATTCCATGGGTATGGGGCTCTGCCCCACGTGCACTTTGCACGCATGGGAGCCCCACTACTAAACCAAACAGAGGGAACTTTTAATGAAGAACTCACGCTTGTCTCCTTGTCCATTGTGGGCTATGTGCAAATTTATTGATGATGTCACACACAAACTTGTGAGCCGGACCATCTTCAGTGCAGCTATGCAGCCTTTGAAGTAAAATACCAATCTGAAATGGGTCATCAAAAATCAGTATTATTTCACATAAGATTAGAGTACAGCAGCTTTACAATCAACAATAACCTACATGTACATCAGATACAACTTTCCGTAAGCAACAAACCAATCCTGTTTCGTGTAACATGCATCTGCCTCAATGAATAAAGAGTCTTAGGTTAGGCTGTCGACTAAAATCAGTAGTCAGCGAAAACCCCTAGTTAGTCTGCCTTTTCAAGCCAGCTTCTTTGCCCTCATTTTACCCCGAGCACTGGATAAAATCTGAACTTAAATCAAGGCTGTGCTCTAAAAAAAATAAGGGAGCCCAGTGCTCTCAACTGTGAAATCCAGGGTGCCCAGCATAATTATGCTTTTTATGAAAAAACTAAGATTCCTGAGTCGGCCAAGAGCAAAAGTTAGGCACCAGGGGCCACCAGGCACTTCTAGACCACAGCTCTGTTGAATAAAACAAAAGAATACCACACTCACCAGTTTAAATGCTATCGTTCTGACATCGGCCACTCTGTCTGTGGCAAGTGAAATGGCAATAGGACAAATATACTGCAAAACTTGTTTGGGTTCATATATCTCACATAGAGACATAAGTTGCCTAAAAGGAAATCAAACAGTTTAACCCTTTCTACCCAAACATCAGTATGCATATTCTCCATACTGTTCTCTATACATTTTCTTAAGTGCCAACGGAGAGAATTTGTTTAACAATCAAAAATTTTTTTGGTAGGTGACCTATTCCTTTATTCTGTTGACCATAATGTTTGAGTTTAGTGACTCTGGATTCTTAGTTACTCTTGCGATTGCATATTAAATTTAGTTTTCCTTGACAATGGTGCCAAGATGTCGCCGAAACGTGGGACTTTAATGGTTAGTTTTTGGCTGTATAGATAATGTTTGAATCAGGGATATTGTTGTAAAGAGAAATTAGAAGCTAGTCACTCTGAGGGTTTAAGGATTAAGAGACTTCCTCTTTCAAGAAAATCAACACATTAACGGAATAGGGCCTAAAGTTTTTTGTTGACCTCTGTGTGCCTTCTTTTTTTATATTTTTAATATCTGGCCATTCTCAGCTAAACTGGACTAGATCATTCACAAGTAGTGAATGGAGTTGAACTTAGGTCAAACTTGATGGGAAAAGACATGTCAACATGTTTGTTAGTTGAAAATCCACAAGGTAATTCAAAACTTTGTGTTTTGCTTCTATGTCTAGACTTTAACACATTCTTTCTTTACAAACAAGGAACTTTGCCATTTGTTACAAAATGGAGAACTTACTCAGCAAGCTCAAAACGAAACCGCCAGTTTCTGTTATTATCTGTTGTGAGAAAGTCTGTTAGCATGGGAAGATAGTCACCGCTTACATCAGATGGAAGAAGCTGCAATGAAAGAAGAGAATAAGCATTTACTGGGGCATTAGATGTGCTCCAAAAATAATCCCAAGTATCTCAGGTGTTGTCTTGAAGTCCTGTTGGGCAGCCTGTGCACACACTTAACCCTTTTGCTCCCAAGAGTGATCAAAGAGGAATTTCTCCTTAAATCATCAATAAATTTACAAAGTCAAAGTGATGAGAAGATAGAAAAAGACCAACAAAGGGATAATAATTGATTCATAACTAAGGACCTGTATGTCAGACAGTGCATCAGAAATGAAAAATAACCTTTGCCTTGAAAGACCTGGTGGATTGTCTGTCATGTAAGTAAAAAAAGTCCCAATTTGAAACCTGCTTAAACAATCAATTATATGTAGAGTCAACTTACCTTGATGAAGTCTGCTAAATGTTTCAGTACACCTATTCTCACCTGTAAAAAAATTAAAGGGGATACAGAATTAAGAAATGCATTTGCCAAATCAAAGCCTTCTTATATTTGTTTGGGGCATATCTTAAAGAATTTAATTTCCTCAGATCACATAATTGTACAAAAATTGGGTTGTATGTCACATGAGGTGAATGAATAATCAGATGCAAAGTAAAAAGGAAATGAAGACAAAAAATTCTGTCAATGCCTCTCACCTCATCCAAATCCTTAAGGAAACTGTTAAAAGTAGGTACTAACTCAATGCGTGTGATTTCACTTCCAAGAACTAAAGCTAGTTCATGGATGGAAAATGCTAATGTTCTTCGAACTTTCCACTGCAAAACACAAATTTCATATCAAGAATTAAGATAAGAATTCCAGGCAAAAGACACCCCTAAAAAGACAATAACCTGAAAACAAGGAAGAAAAACCAGGTTACTTGTGGTAAAATTTAATACTTATTGCTTGGAATTTTTCTTGAATCCTACCTGCATATCTGCAATAAGCATTTCAAACGTATCTCTCAGACATGGCCAGTTTTTACGTCCCAGTGTAAGTGTCACTGCTGGTAAACTGAAAGCACAGTGCCGCACTATCTCTGTGTCAATAGTTTGAGCTTTGGCTGGTTCAGTCATGGATATATAGTGATCAAGGAGAGTTTGAGGAATAACATGCTAAAACAAAGTACAGTAAAATTACAATCAGCATAGAGGTTTAGAAAAAAAATCCACAAAAGTAATGTGAAGTGAAACATTCAATTAATGGACACTTGTTAAACTCTTATCCAGAAGTTTAAACAGCAAATAATTTCACTCTCAACTATCCACATTTGAATGACACAAATTCTACAAAGATTTTTACCTGTGGATGGTTAAAAAAGAGAAACTATTATCCTTACAAAAAAGACAAATTGCAGAAAAGAAACCAGGAAAATTTAGGCTTTGATGGAATCAGAACCTGCGCCTTTCTAATAAAATTTCAACACTACCACCAAATGAAGCAACAAGTCACATGTCAGGAGTGATGCAAATTTTAGTGGGATCTTATTCCCGTGAAGGAACCTGAACACAGGCTGCACTCTTTCATAAAAACAACTAAATTCAACCAGAAAAATCTTAATCATATTGAAGGAGAAAAAGTAAGAGACTCTTCAAGAAAACTCATGTCATGGTAATCATTTTAAATGTTACACCAGAAACATACATGTACCATTGATTACTGTTGGCCATTTAAAACTAATTCTAACCTCCAACAACAAATTTTGCTGGCAGAATCAGTTCAGTAAGACACAATATTTTGAGAGTTGTACCTGCACAGGTGGAGCAGTTATATGATCGGCAATAAGAAGGTCATCATCAAATGAAGATGTGTGAGCTAAATTAAGCTTCCTGTAATCATCGTAATCAAACCTCCCAATACCATGATCCATATGAAAATCATCAGTGAGAGAATAGAGAGGAATACCATCTTCCTCATCACTGTCATCATCACCATGCACAAAAGCCAACCTTGGATGATGACGATGATGTTGGTTAAAGGTGTTGCTATGACACTGTGTCTCCAGCAAGCCACTTGTTTCTCCTTCATGCAGTGCATTAGCTCCAGGTTTCAAGTCTAATTTATCACTTGCAGTTTTAACATTTTCAACAGTTGCAACATCTAAATCTTCAGCATCTAATTCAACTTGAGGTAAAGGAGTCCTCCAATAGAGAAATGAATCAAAGTACTTATCGTCAACCTCATCAAGATCTGTGGTCATGTGCTTGTCACAATTTCTTGATTCTTTAGAACATGTTTGAGTAACAACATCCCTGTTTTGTGTGTCATGTGATTGTTTCTGTAGATCTTGATCATTTGACATGATTTCAGGAGGGGAAATATAACCAGAATCTGTAGTGCGAGCCTCAGGTGATGACTGTCGTTCAGTTTGATGCTTGTTTCCTTCACGAGATTCTTCCGAAAGAGTCGCACTGGAACAAATCACATTGTTATTTCTACAGCAAATACACTATTAAGTGTTGTACAGCTATTTGTAGATCAACATATGGGTTGTTTCAACTTGAAAGTGAAGATTTTTCATTTCAGTAAAGGATAAAAAGAATGAAATGTAATCGAAAGATTACTCTAAATATTACCTGCTACAATGTCTATATTCATGAGTTCACTTCAATTTTCTTACAAAGATAAAAAGAACACCCCTGTCCACCTATGAATTATTTCAAACTCAAAGTACTTCAATTGCAGAGTAAATATTTTGCGTCTTACTCTTCATTAGATTCACCACTGGTAGTTTCACTGGCAGTTGGTTCTCCCTCTGTTTTAGTTGGGGAAGGAGGAGGGGTTTCCAGCTCTCTCTCGGATAAAGCAGTCAAAACACCATCCTCGTTTATGTAAAAACCACTGTCAGCTGGGTCTGCAAATGTGGAAATAAATGGTCCCAGACTTTGATATGCTGCCATTTGAACCTAGAACAAACAAAGCAATTATGATTGTTGATTTTAACTTAGAAGCATTGTAGGAGAGAAAGGGCCAAAGTAGATGGATATCTGCATGTACTCAGGTGAAAATTTCAGACGCATCAGAAAGTGCGGGGAAAGCATTCGAAAAGAGTGTGGATGATTGTTAATCTTCCATACTCCTTTTTAAACAATGCTTTCAAATACATGTTGAAGCTTTGATAAGGAAAACTTTCTCTCACATACTAACTTTAAAGCCTTGACACAGTTGACAGTGATTTTTTTAACTAAAAGACCCTGACTTTTAAACACAGGCCCCCCCAAGGAGCACCTAAGTACCAAAACCCTATATATACTGCATGAAAGTCAGCTAGACTATAAAATCAAAACCAAATCAACAACACAAAAGGTAATGGTCATTCATGATGATGGCATGTACATACCCATCTTGACTTGTCACAGAGCAAACCAACGAAGAACTGAGAGAGCTCTGTTTTCCTGGTTTCTGCTAGGCTTGCACTTGACACACTCATGTAACATTCAGCACATGCCTTTATTTATAGAGGAATGCAAATGTAAGCAGCTGGTTTGATGTCAGAATTGATTTTAACTCTGTTGTTAGATTATAGCTGTACATGTAACTTTTAAGTGTGCAGCTTTAGTACTCAAAAGAAGAAAGTGAGCTAGGAAAAAACAGGTTAAAAGAAAATCTATTTTTATTGGAAATCCCTAACCAAGAATGATTATCATGTGCAGTGCCTGAAACAAGAGAAAAAAAAGATACACCTGCACATTGTAACTAGTTCTATTTCAATATCATAAACTTGGTGAGAAACTCGCCTTTCTAACACCCCAAACTCCATCTTGACACAGTTTGAAGAAGACTGGAAGCTGAAATGGAAACAAACACCAGTTGGAGTATTGCATGGTGAAGAATAAGTTGAGGGATGTGTAAGAGCTGGATATTCAATCAATAATTACAGCTGAAGCTCCCCTCAGAGTGTTGCAATGAAAATAAATTTGACAAACACAGTTGCTTACCATTCTCTCCCTGGTCACATCTGGCCCTAGAACACTGCACATCTCACCAAAGTTTGATGCACAAACCTAAAGTAGGAATTTTTAGAGAAAGCACAATCATGAGAATGATAAAGAGAATGCACAGGAGAATGCACCAGTGCAGTGCTTTGAATGTTATCTCTCAGTTTGCCTGTAGCAGCCTTCTCCTTTTGCTCATGATACCTTCAATCACAAAGTTGCCTCTTGATTAATGTGACTACTATTTTTAAAGATAGTCTAACAAGGAAGCAACACTATGCTAGAGTTAAAACAACTGTACACAGACTTCTCTTGTCAAGAAAAGAACAGCGACATAAAAACTGCATTACCAAGCAAGATGATGAAATTATCAACCCCAAAAAGAAACTAAAGGGATCATCCCCATCCTAACTGATGTTGTGTAATTAAACTTGTTAGGAAATTTATTCATCTATTCTTTAGTCTATTTATACCTTTTGCAATGGCCACACATGCAATGCTGAATCAACAACATTGCTTGAAACAGTAATGAAAGTTTTCCCCACTTGTTAATAACAATATCTTTTAAACATTTCTTCCTAGTGTTGCACAACTATTGTAATTAGCACCTCAACACTTGCACCTTAGTTACATGTAATACCATATCTGCACCTGCACCCGTATCTATCTGTGGACAAGCTCATTAAAAGTGCAGTTTTGAACACGATAAGTAACGGTCAACACTAGCATACCTTCCTGACATGGAACAGAGGATCAGAACAAAGAAGTTCAAATCTTGGTAAAAAGTATCTCTCTGTGATGTCTCTTCCAACAAGCGGAGCCATCTTACTCATCAACTGATAAATAAAAACACACACACACAATAAACTTTGTCACATCTTACAATGTAAAACAGTTTTATTATACTTCAAATCCATCAACTCTTTTATCACATGAAATCTTTAGAAAAAAGCAGCTTTAACTCTAAATGAATTATTAGTCAGATGAAAGTTAAAGAGACCAAATTCCAACTATCAGAATGGCCTGAAGTATCTCCAAATTAGAGTTAGTGGAGAATTTCCATAACATTTGAGTTTCAATATAAAACTTTAAAACTTTAAAAACTCAGTTAATGCCCTTCCTTTGTGCAGCTCGATAAAAATGAAACTTACAGCCACTGCTTCAGATCTGAAGTCATCATTGCTCTCCCCTGCTGTCAGCTGAAGAAGAACAGGACAAACCTGTTCCTCAACATCCTCTGAAAAAGAAATTTCCTTTCAGATATTAGAATTACATATATGTATGTGACCACAGACACATTTCAAAATCTACTTATCTGACTTACATGGTGCAAGGTCTAAAGGAGCTGATAGCTATTTACTATTGGCATATCACCAGAACATATGTCCTTGTTAAAACTGATTTTGTTCTGGATACAGTGTGCTGAAACATTACCACTTTGCACTTTGAAAATAGCTAAAAATTTGCAGGTGTAATGCTCCAGTTCCCTGAACCACACGAGTTCTTGCTCCAGGACATGACCATTAATATACTACAGCTAGGCTAAATTAAATATATGGTGACAATAACAAGTACTCACATGCCAGGCACTGTGAGCAAAGTTACTGTGACATATGAGCAAAAGCAAATACTAACGATGTTAACCAGCATGTTATATAACCAACAGGTTACATTTGTCAATGCATTATTCACTGTATCTGTTGTCTAGATTAATTTATCTGGCTTTACCTGTAATGAAACCTAAGTTAATTGTTTTTTTTTTATTAGGTTTCCCTTGCCATGTATCTGCTTTACTTTCTTTACCAATTGTTGAAATCATACAATGTAAGTCAAACCATCAGGTATATGGTAAATAATATTTTATACATCTAATAAGAGTTGACTGAATTGTTTACCAGTAGAAACTGGAACAGCAACCTAAAGAAACAAGTAATTCAAAAGCAATTTTAAACAAATTAGGAGAAAATGATTTAATAACAAGATTCACTTTCACCTCTTTCCACAACTTCCTGTTCCAACAGAACCAGTAGTGCCGCTTGACTTGTTTTACGAACCTGAATATCAAAAACAAAGCAATATCAACTTTCATGCTTTACAAAAAAAAAATCACAAGTCCACAGACAATGTAGCACACTTTAATCAGTTGCAAGAGGCTAAACAGAATAACAGTGAAGCTAAATTCCAGCCAATTTTAAGCAGCGTCTGACAGAGGAAGAAACAAAAAGTAATTTGACTAGCATTTCCTCTCATTTAAAGAGATTGCTTCAGAATAAATTTAAACAATTGTAGAGTATCTCAGAAATTAGTATTAATGCCAGGGAATCCAACTTCTGCTAACAAACATAAAAGAAGCAAGAAAAACTGAAAAAGGAATAGCAAGGTTTAGGATGACAAGTATTACCAAAGAATGCCAATGAAGCACTTGAAAATATTAAAGCTACATTTTCCTTGAGTCATTACATACAAAGGTCACTTCACTTCACAGCTCCAACCTCATCTGACAAACTGTTTGTATATGAACATACATTTTATACTTTGACTTTTAAGGTAATTAAACTCTTTTACCATCTCTACTTCTGAAAAGGTAATGTTCACTTAAGAAGTCTTCCTTCTTCTACTCAAATTCAGATATCCAGATATCCATAAAACAATCAATATCACAGCATTTGCTTCAGGGTTGTACATGTAGCTAAGAAATTAAGCCACCCACTGAAATTTTAACTGAGGCAGCTCAAAAGTGGTGAACAATTTATAAGTGTGTAACCTCTGAAGTGCCCATTGAGCTTTACCAAGGGATCACCAGCCTAAAATCTAGCCAGTGATTGCTCCTTTTTCATCTGGCAAACTTCTCCAGCAGCCGGCACTTAGCGACAACACTGTTGCTTTAGCAATGATTCTTTACAGTATTATCAAAAGTCAAGAGAATGGAAATGGAATTTACTTTGAATTTTATCTACCTGATTGTTCGAATCAGTCAAAAACCGCAGCACAATGAATAAAATGTACTGCGGTACAGCTTCCATCATTGAGTGATGCTCGTAACAGTATACAGCGACATGTGGTACTTGCTCCATCAGCTCCACTCTAACAGATGGCTCTGAAATATAAAATGATGGTCAAGTCTTGGAGTTTAGCCCTGTGTCCTTCACATATAGCAATTGCCAGTCCAGTATAGAGTTGCTCCCAAATAATTTCCTGAGTCTCTGACACAGTTTGCCCATACTTTTGTTTAATCTTTGACAGAGAGGGACACTTTACATAGTAGTGAAGTGTCTTGCAACAACACAACTGATTGTGTACACTCAGGTTCAGTTAACCAACATACTTATGTACACTTTTTCACATTTGCACAGGGATTTCTACAAATTTTTCCATGTCGCACTGAAGAAATAGATGGCTGTGCAGTAAGGCAAAATCCAAACAAAACAGCCTGCTTGCAGCCTTGACAAATGTGGCCGTAGAGGTCAAAGATATGCCACCAGTTAAAGGCTTTTCTTCATGCCACTCTACAATCTCCCATTAAGAATATCTCTCAACAAGCAAGCATTTGTTTTTATGTAGAAATCTAGGAAAGATTTCTGGATAACCCAATGCTATTCTTAGACAAAGCTATAGTCCCAAGGGCAATATATTTTTTCTTTATCCAAGAACTGTATGCATAATCAAATAAATGAGGCTGTGCATAAATCTTGCCCAAATCTGTATATGGAATGCATCGCAGCTAGTTCACAGCTGCAGTCATATCAAGTTGGATAATTGAAGCATTCAATAACATGACCATCAAAAAATCCTCAGACAAACTTATTTTGTAACAATTTCATACTATAACAACTCAACTGATTGGTCTTAGTGAGTAAAACATTACAAATAAATCACGATCTTCCTAGTAAATGCCCAAATTATAGAAACACTAAGATAGTATCTTCTAAAAGTATACTTGGCTTATCTACTTAGACCACAACCAACATTTACATTACCTACAAGTACACACATTTGTGAGAACTAGGTAGCATAGGTAACAATATTTTGGCTGTGTACTAATTCTTTTATTAGTCTGGGGTCTTCCCAGGCGAAGCTACTCCTTGCACACATGCACTGATGTACTGTACGTTACCGATAAAGACACACGGATTTTTAAATAATTCTTATCTTAAAATCAAATGATCGTGAGTTTTAAGAAGCTATGGTTTTCTTTCTAATCAACTGACCCTTTTACAAGAATAAAAAAGTAATTCATTGGCGGGATTAACATAAACATTGCCTCTATGTCCGGTGGTAAAACTTCAAATAAGACAAGACGAACAACCGGGACGAAAAAATACATGCTCTACTTCTACAGCCTGCTGTACAGCTGGGTAATAGCTGATTTAAACATGATCTACAGATTCAGCAAACAACATTATTTTCTACCCTTTTTTTTCCCTCCAAATATCACAAAATTTGTGCGGCCTTACCCGCTGCGATAAAGAGTTCAAAATTATACACCGCAAATATATGGACTCCGCTGAGATGGGCAAAAATAAATGATTCTTCCAAGTTCAAATAGGATTAAAAAATTAATTGGAAGAATTTTTCCGGATACTTAACTTTCAAAGATTTCTACTTCAAATATTGGTAGATTACGCTAAACTCACTCGCAGTTACGTATGAAGGCCTTACCAATGTCGTCCGATAGGCGAACCATCAGTCTCAACACATGATAAACTTCTTCCTTTGCCTTGCTCGCTCTCAAAGCGTCCTGACAACATCTAGCTGCCATTTGTCTACAAAGAAATTATTGCAAATAAAATATTTGTTCGGGGAGGGATCATAAAAAACGTCAAAGTGTAACGAGAAGACGTGGTTCTTGCTCACACGTGCAAGCAGATCAGAGCGGATGCATCCATGAACTTTCCCAAACTCACCGATTTACAATTATGTCGCTCAACATAAACCTTTCCATTCTAATGATGGGACCCATTGGTTCTTCAGCGGAAGCATAACAATGTAAAGACGTCTCGTCTTGATCCATCTCGTATCCTTCTGCGAAATCGAGATATTGAGTAATACGTTACTTTTGAAGCGTGAAACTGACAAAAACCGATGCGTTGTAGAAAACGAATGTCGTTTATCCGAGGAGATTCAAAACAAAACGTACCATCTTCTTGGTCCTCTTCTTCTGGACCATCAGTGCTCTCTATATGAAATCGTATATCTGAAAAGAAACCAATAATGAGTGCTGAAATGGGACGAATACCTCATCGGAATTCACAACCTACCCGCCATCTTGAGCGGCCACTAAACTTTCTTCTAAACATGGCTTCCAGTCACGTGACTGACAAGTCAGAACCAGGCCACCCCTGCTGAGTTGTCCGGCTACAAGTAGTCATGCTGACATAACCATTTGCTTACGTGGGTCATATGCTCAATTTCCGGTACCATATATTGAATTTGGCCAAATCACATATTTTGCTTTGCAGCCATGTTTTCTTAGAGTTTCTGGGCTGGGAAAGTAAAGGAAGAAAAAGAAAGAAGAAAAAGGCGGGTTTGGCTTAGTTAGGGACACGTCGGTTTTCTTCTTTCGCACCTTGGACTGAAAGTACGAAAGAGAATCTTCGCAATCGAGATGAAGCTCTATAAATTTCCTTTTAATAAAACTGATTATATCTGCGAGGATAGGTAACTATGCTGCGAGGTCCTTAAACTCCTCATAGATGTACTGGCAATGCCGTGGGTTGCATCGACAAAACCGTAAGATTCTCTCGCTAACCCCTGACTCCACGCGTGCCATGGAGGCAAGCTATGCCACAGGTAGCCCAAGCTCTCTTTGCATATTTATAACGATTTGTATGGGATTTTCTACAAGATATCCACAGAGATAGTTAAAAGTGAAAATATTAAATGAAAATGGCTTACCTTGTTCCATACGTGTGTTGTTTGCTCCTGGTGTCGTTATTTTACCGATTTCACTTGATTTAAGCGGTTTTTTTTAATCCTGGTTTTCTTNGCCTTCTTTCGTCTACCGTTTATACTTTTTCTAAACCTGAATGTAGACAAATTACAGACTATGGACATTTCACTTCCCGTGGACCACGTTTATCTGAACAAAATAATCTTCCCATTTTCAATTACAGTACTAGGAAGAACCCCTTAACAATCTTTGTCACATGAACACTTTTTATCATTGAAGAGGATGTCAAAGTACAACTTTAATAAAGAGAAGACCAGGATTAAAAAAAACCGCTTAAATCAAGTGAAATCGGTAAAATAACGACACCAGGAGCAAACAACACACGTATGGAACAAGGTAAGCCATTTTTATTTAATATTTTCACTTTTAAATATCTCTATGGAGATCTTGTAGAAAATCCCATACAACTCCTTATAAATATGCAAATTGTGTTCCTTGTGTGGTTCTCAAAGAGAGCTTGGGCTGCCTGTGGCTACGCAATTAATAATTTTTTGGGCTAAACCTCCACCGATGAATTCTCATAAACTACCACGCACTACTTATAGTCACTTAGATATCGCAAGAAGATTTTCGGAAGTACTTTATTCACTTTGAATATTTCTGTAAATTCATTAAATGAGCGCAAGAACTTGAGCAAAACGTCAATCACCTTTCATTTCGATTAAGTCTGGCCAACGTTTATCGCGACCGCGGTTAAACTCATCCGTCGATATCGCCTCGAGACGTTTAATTATAGGAACAGTCCGTGAGGTTAAGGCTGAAGGCACTTACGCTGAAAAAAAAAAAAAAAAGGAATGATTTAAGAAAAGCAAACTGACACAATCAAGGGAGCAATCTCCGCGAAGTAAGTCAAGTAAACCAAGATCTGAGATAGACTTTGTTTGAACTAAAGGCCCTGGGTGTGTATAATCATTATGACAACTATTGTTATCACTTGTTCATGTAAGAAGACCAGCCAATACTGAGTTCATTGTCACGATAACCCGTGGTATGGCTAAACCAAAATAAATCGTGCTTCAAAATTTCGTCTTCTGGTAGCATGGCGGCAATTCTACCGATGTGAAAGGGAAAAAGTCACTCACGTGCAACCAGTCTAAACACATCACGTGATGAAATATGCTGAAGCTGGCACTGATTCTGCGATCTGATTGGCTACGCTACCCGTCATCCATTCCGTGGTAGGAAGCTAGTAAGATCAGTGGCTTACCAGTGTAAACAAATTGAAATAAAAAAGCGAGTTTGTGTCACTATTATGATAGTAAAATTTTGAACACCTAGATTCATTCTTTAAAAATTTGATTGCGCGCTTTCCTTTCCAACATGAGATGATTAATTCGGGCATCAACCCCCTTCAACTATCACGCAACAGAAATCTCGGGCTCAAAACTTTACATGAAAAACAACGAAATGATAGTTTACGATGGTAGAGCGTTTCGTTATTGCTGCAAATGAAGAGGCAGACACTTGTGTTCATAATAGCGTACAAAAGACGACTTAAACGACAAACATTCCACACTGTAAAATCCATTGTGGCTTTTCGTTCGGATTCAATTCTAATAAGAGTAATTCAAGCGTAAGTGAAATATTTTGTTAAAGATGTCCTTGGACATCCTTTGTTTGCTTTTCAAAAGAGAATGTCTTCGAATAGAAGTCTGAGATTATTTTCGCGACAAATGGAGGCCTTTCCTTTTTATAATTTATATCGTACACAACCACGATTTGGGTAAGTTTTACGTTGGCAAACTCATTTGAGCCTAAAAAAATTATCTTCCTTTTATGATTGCTTGCTAAATAAGAGAAGGGTATAGCTCCCTCAGGTTTTTCCCATAGCTAACATGTTTGTAAACTTTACTGTTATGAAGAGTATCAAAATATATCAAAACCGCCTCCTGGTTAGCTCAATTTGTTAGAGCGCCGGACGGTGGTGTGCGAGTGGTCGAGGGTTCGAGCCGCGGCCGGACCAATACTCATGGTCTTAAAATAACTGAGGAGAATTTGCTACCTTTCTAGAACATCAATGAAATGGATAGATATTCTAGTCTTCTCGGATAAGCACGAAGAATTGGAGGTCCGGTCTCCTGCAGGGTTAGGGTTAGGAGACGTTAATTTCCCACGCACGAGATTACTGTGTGATGGATGTCCTACCCTGGGGTGGGATGTGTGGGAGGAAAAGGTGAGATCATTACATGGACTAAAAGCGGCTACCAGAGGCGCCTGATAATGCTGACGTCCGATCTCAACCTTAGTAACACTGCAGACCTTAGCAATTCAGCCAATGCTGCTATTAAGGTATCAAATCATTCACCTTCACTTTCACTTTCAATATTCTTTTAAACTAGGGTACCTAAAATATGGCAACTGCACATTCTGTTGATAGTGATGGCGTAGTTTAAGCAGTGATCAATCTCCCTGCGCGTTCCGAGACTTTATCGAGAAACATATCTCTGAAGTTATTTTCTGCGGGAGAGGAAGTATAAAAGAAAGTATAGGAAGTATAGAAAACAGCGCGCTCACAGAAGAAAAACATCGCCTTTTGTAACACAAATTCTTCCGGCTTTGCCAAACCTCAAGGGGGAGATGACAAAACGCGGAGCCCTACTCAATGGAGTACCCTATGGAGTACCTTAATGGAGTACCCCTAAAAGTCATGTATTCTCTTCTTTCACATCCCCATAATCTATGGTGAATCATTTAGATGTACAAATCCTAAAATATTTTGAGCTTGCTAGTTCTCCAAATATCTCAGTTCGATACAATCAAGTTTTTTGGGGGACAGATAACTAGGGCTCTCAGTCTTTGTCTCAAGACGAAAAACTCTATGTGATGAACAAAACCCACAGTTTCGAGTTCTGCGCGAGGTAAAATATTTAAGCTTACTGCATTTCCCAAATCAACGGCCCCCGTCGGATTTAATTACCTACACTTCAGTGTTTTTTTGGTTTGCTCACATACCTCAATTTTATTACGCCACAAACAGATGGGTGAGGAGAAGCTCAGTTTAAAGATATGGCTTACCTTTTTTAAGTCTCAACCAACAAATTTAAGCTTGTATAGTCATCGCTTCGCACAATATTACATGTAAGAAACCCACGAGGCTTTGTGATATTATATGGAGCGCCACACCGCTCTTACAGACGCCACACGTAAACAGGTATTTTGGAAGACGTAAAACCCGTTGCAGAATGAAGTATGTCCGTCCTTTTGGCCTCTTGAAGATGATATGAAAATAGATGGTTGTCGGCCTATTAACGATAACGTTCATGGATGCTAGCTACATCAAAGCTTTACGTTGGAAGTGGTCAGCAAGTTTAATGTTAATTTCAAGATGGCGGTCAATTCGTGTACTACATCGAACTGCGACAATCGAACAGCTGACAAGCTCGAAATATATCAGGATATGTACATCTAAACGATTCACCGTGTTCACAAAGTATTTTATTTGACTAATACATGATTTTTAGGGGTACTTCATTCAGGTACTCCATAGGGTACTCCATGGAGGAGGGCTCCGCGTTTTGTCATCTCCCACCTCAAGGACATACGGATGTGGAAATGATATCTTAAAACTAACCCTAATTATCACAACGCAAAAGAAATTTTAAGAGATATCCTAATAAAAGCTTAACTTTGAGGGCAGAAGATTTAAAAGCGCAAGCAAATGTCAGTAGTCCCACAGTTCTATCAACAGCTTTCCGGCTTACCGACGTGTCACGTCACGCAAGGTAGAGTTATCCATCGATCAAGTAACTCCTTTCATGGCTCTAGTTTAACTTTTCTTCCTTCAGTGATCACGATAGTAGATTTACCATACAATACTTGGGATTAGTTTATTTGCCTTTACTTAGGAAAGTAGATTTACAACGCAATTAGTACCTCGAGGAAATGTCTTTACAGTTGTAACGCTATGTAACGCAATACACAACAATCGTGGTGCACTGTACTCTGGTTAAAGGCTGCAATGCATTCTGGTAAAAACTGATGAATTTGCATCCCCTATATTTTTGTCAAATCCTGATTATGATGCTGCTTGCTTGCTTGCTATGCTTGCTTCCCAGAAATTAGCTTTGCAAGCTGACGGTAAGTGGCAAATAATGTGATTCATTGACCGATAGAATGATTGACAGCTTGATTTATTGAATAATTGACTAATTGATTGGCTGATTGACTGATTGATTAATTATTAATTGCCTGATTGGTTGATTGCTTGATTGACTGATTGTATGACTCATTGATTGTCTTAATGCTTGATTGACTGATTGTATGATTCATTGATTGATTGTCTTAATGCTTGATTCATTGATTTTATGATGAATTGATTGATTAACAGATTGATTGATTTTCTACTTGATTGATTACTAGTGGTAATAGGACCTAGTGCACTTCAATTTGGTTTGTACTCATATGAGTGATTAGCAAAATTGGATGACCATGAAGTAGGAGTCTGATTTGTCAGTATAATTACAGACTGAATTGGATGACACATATCGTCCTGTTAGCAAATAATCATAACCACTAAAATTTCTGTAAAAAAAAGAAAAGCTACATCTATTTGAGAAAATATCTCCAGTAAAAAATTCATCCAGTTTGTGTTTTGTTACTGAAATAAGTTCTGTGATTGGTGGATTTTGCCAAGTGGACTTTATGCATGATTGGCTGTTTTAAATGTCCAATTACAGGTGTCCCATCACAGCCAACTGTCTGATTACACTGTCTGTTAACAACTTTAGAGAACATTTAGTGAAAAATAAAGCAGCTAATGCTCCCATCACCTTTGAGGAAGTTGTAATGGTTATGATTAATCAACTAACTGTCAGATAAATCAGACCGCAACATGCTTCTGTACTTATCTCGATTGACTAAATGACAGACTTAACAACTAACCACAAGAGTAAATGATTAAAATTGACTGATTGCTTGATCACCTATTATGTGGCAAGACATAAAACAATATCTTTAACACAAGTTGATATAAAGCTACGGAAAAAAATAAAAAATGGACTTGTACTTTGCACTCTCTCATTGGTATCTTAATTCTCTGATGACTAAGCTAATTGTTTGTTTTTGTCTCACTTAGAACTAAATCAAGTCCACAGAAATTTACAATTCATAATTTTGATATTCTTGATCCCCTTGGCCTCATGATTTCAATTCCTCTCTTTTTTGTCACCATCATCACTGCTGCATTAGTGCTGTCCTTCTCAATCAGTTGAATAACTCCAGTGGCAATAACTTCTGGCCTAAATAATGGAATGCATAGATTCAACACTTAGACTGAAGTATTTGATTTTGCTAAATTGTCAAAAGCCCCAGTTAATATCAGAGTAAAAAATCCTTGTTTGATATCATAATAATATTGATCTGTGAAAAAGGGAAAAAATGTGCTTTTCACTGCTACAGGATTAGTAAAAAAAAAAATCCCTGGTGATTTTGAAACCAGCTAGGGGAATATAAAAATTACAAATTAAAAGAAAACCTTCCTTCTTTTCATTCCAGTAATTTATTCGTGTTTTTCTCATTGCTATGTTCCCACCAATCACGTAGCTCCATTTTCTGCCTTTAAAAGCACACACAACCCACAATTCCTCTATTCACTCCGATGAAGGGCTAACGCTCAAAACGTCAGCTTTTATAACCGTAACGGTGGCCAATTTACCATTTGAACTTTGTTGATATATTCAAATTATTTCATTACCCCACCGACGCAGCCCCAGACAGTTTCTTTAGAAACTATCAGCCTTTATTCACTTATATCCAACATGTGCTCTTGGTAAAATTTCTAGTTTAAATACCTGATCAGTCCATATTTAGAAAGGGTTTGATGCAATTCTGGAAGCTCTTTGGCTCGCTTTTCATCATAAGAAGACCAAAACAAATCTGTTTCTGTGTAGCTTGGACAAATACAATTTACTCTCACTCCTTCTGTCTTATGAAGTCCCTTAAGTTTGAGGGAAGGCAGACATTATTAATTAAATCGTAATTTACCTTAATGTACATTTTATGTTGACATAAAAATCATCTTATCGTCACTGACTATTTTAATGGCAGAATAAACCAGAAAAATGCATTCCACTAGGAAAATGCAAATTGTAATTGAGTTGCAACTCCAAGACCAGTTTTTTGCAAGTATACAGCTTTTTAAACACATTCAAAACAGTTAATTCAATGTTGCTAATGTCAGTAACTTAGCATTCAATAAATTATAGTATGATTAATAATAATGGTAGGATTTCATTGTAATAAGCAGCTCAGTGTAAGTTATGTGTTGTCAGGTAATGTATTGTAATAGAATTTATGTCTTGTAAATAATGCATGTCCTTGTAAATAAAGATTTTACCACAATTGACAGTAATGTCACAATCTGATTGGCCAATTTGTTGTTGTCAATAAGAGTACAGACAACAGTGCTTGTGTCAATGTGTAAAGCAATGAGTCATGCACAGAAAGAATCATATTTATGTAAAGTTGATATTGCGGTGAGAAACAAATCAACAGTTAGAGTTAAACATGGTCTACTCTTATTAACAATGATATTCATCATCACACTCGCCAAAATAAAAACCTTCTGCAATTATATACTAACAATTATCATATGTTACATTACTCAGTTGCAAACTTCAAAGACTGAATCTCTCATTTAAAATGGTAACTATACAACTACCTATTACAGACCCTTTAGGGATAATCAGTCAGCACTTACCCCTAGACTTTGTGAAAACCCAACTACTCCAAATTTTGTTGCACAATACACAGCCATTGACTGTCCTAGAGGGAAAATGCCTGTGAAGTAAAATTAATAATCATATGTCATGGATCAGGTTTTTCTAAGCATTTTCACTATTGGCAAACATTTCACTGTATATTTAAGTTCCATGCCTACCTGCCATTGAAGCCACATTGATGATAATGCCACCCGTTCCTCCGCGTGAAACACTCATGTGATAAACACCAAGAAAAGTTCCATGAATTACACCCTTCTGCAAATTGAAACAAAAATAACAAGAAAAAGGATTTTTGAAAGTCTTACTGTCATTTGCTAGTATCCCATTAATACCTCAGGAAGATAAGCCATACTGTGCAAGGTAATATGGTTAATACCTCAGGAAGATAAGCCATACTGTGCAAGGTAATATGGTTAATACCTCAGGAAGATAAGCCATACTGTGCAAGGTAATATCGTTAATACGTCAGGAAGATAAGCCATACTGTGCAAGGTAATATGGTTAATGCCCTAGAATACAACACAGTGACCTCCCTGTGGCCCAAACCAAAGCTCCTTTAACCCAGATTTGATTGTTAATTGACCACTAAGTCCCTTAGAAGTTTATTAACAACAGCACAGTACAAATTGTACCTACCAAGTTCACATCAACTTCTTTGTCCCATTCTTCATCTACCTCTTCATTTTTTGATGTTATACCAGCATTATTACAAACAATATTGATCTGACCAAACATCTCTTTTGTCTTCTCAAAGGAGTCTATATGCCATAGGACAACAGGAAAAGCAATTGTACTCTTGGCTATTATAAATAACTTTCACTTAACAATTTAAATATATCTTATTAACCAAGCGCGAGGGCCGTACTGGGAGAATATTGGCCCAAGGTCTTGACAGTACGGACCGAGCGCAGCTCGGTCCGTACAAAAAAGACCGAGGGCCGATATTCTTCCAGTACGGTCCCGAGCAAGCTTGGTTAATAAGAGATTTATTATTCGACTGAAGTTCAAAGGGACGCAAGTGCGGTATCATTCGGGACCATTCGGGACAGTGCCCGGTCCAATACTTAGAGAATATTGGACCGGCAATAGAGCATTTTGATTGGTTGATTTTAGTTATTGGCCCTCTGACTGCCCGAGTTGTGTAATAATGTTAATTATTTAATGAAGTCAACCACCACATGCTTATCAGTGGTTAATGATTCAGCAATCTAATCAGTCAATAGGTTGCACAGGACTCCTCTTAACACTTATCCCTTGGACAGTTAACTTCCAGAAGTGATAAACACTTTACTTCTCCTTACAATTAACAGTTATTGGATGAGGTTGAGCATGATGGCAATAATCAGTATATACTAAAACAGTGGATAGTGTTGAAGGCATGCTCTGATTGGCTAGTCAAACTCTGAGTATCCTTTGCTATTTACCTCCGAGCAACTCGGGAAAAGAATGGTGTCCTGGTTTGCATCTGTGATGAGCGAAGAAATCACTCAAATTAACGTCGGTGGTGTATATTATCTCACTGTTTTAGTATATACTAAAACAACTATTCACCTAAGTGGAGGTGGTTAGTGGTGGATATTTTCCTCGCAGCTTCGCGGCTCAGTAAATATCCACCACTAACCACCTCCACTTCAGTGAATAGTTGTTAATTCGCAAGGCCATAGTTTGTGTTATCTACTGAAGCCAAATATTAAAGGCTGAGACAGATAATTATCATGTGAAAACCAAATCCAATAATTGTTTTATAGTGCATATTCCTGAGCTGCACTTGTAAAGACAAGAGCGAATGAAACTATTGTCTGCAGGTAAAACATTACATCTACCTATATAAAGTCTAGTGTCTGTGGGTATGATATAAGAGAATGTACAATAATATCAAATATTGCGCTGCAAATATTGATATCAAGAAATTACTCAAACTAATCAGAAAAAAGTTGTTTTCATGATGCCAAAGTCTCGTGACTAATTTACAAGGAATCATGTAGCAGCTAAAGGGGAGAATTAAAAATCAGATCGTGGGAGTTAAATGATTAAAACACCACACCACACCTAGCAGATTGAATAAAACTGACTGGCTGACATCTCATTGTCTGTAATATTCTTGTACATGTAATGTCCATAATATTGCTGCACTGGACTGCCCATTTAGAGCTGAAGCTCATGTATTGTGTTTTTCAGCAATTCATTGAGCTCAACAAGATCTAGAACTATCCCTAAACAAGATGCTGGTTTGATACAGGTAACCCAAATGGACTCTAATCAGTTCACTGCATGGTTCCTGACATACTTTTCAGGGGTTGTGGTCACTATGGGTGATATCTTGGATCAGAACTAAGAGTACCTGATCAACATCCTGAGCCCAGTCTAATGCACTGAGCTATACTTTAGACCATGAGATAACAAATCTGCAATATCTTGTTTAGAGTTCAACAACATTAACCTGGCCATTTCGTAGCCAAGGCAATTCTTTAGACCAACCATACCCAAGGAGCCCTGACTGTGCTAAAATATACCAGGTGGACCAGAATAAAGTGTCAAAACAGCAGAACTCATTAAACTATACTTGTTGCTAATATCAGCACCATTAAAATCAGTATTGTTTTGATCAATACCTTTCATTTGAGATTTTGATGTAACATCACATCTGATGAAGATCACTTTTCCTGACCCATACTGTCTTTCTAATCTCTCTTGGAATTGAAAGCCTTTAGCATGATTTAAATCCAATACTGCAACCTTGATAAATTAAAACAAAGACATGGCCAATCTTTACATGACTTGCAGACCATAAACTATTCTTGCAGGTGTAAGGGACCAGTACCTGATTGCAAAACCCGGAAGATATTCAGGAATTTAAAATGAATTTTTCTGTATTTGAGAATTTTTCATATCATTTTATATAGCCTGATGTTTTCTCCATGTCCAAAAGCATGATAGTTAATTTGTAAAGGTTAATTTGTGTTGGCAGCACTCAGAGTGCACCCCAGTGTTTGCATTTGCCACTAGTGCTGATCAGGTTTTGATGCCTTGTTTGAGCTTCATCTGAAGCTTTGTGACTCAGAAAATAGACCAGAAATGCACAAAACAAAGCAATCAAAGAGGTTGCATAGTATTATATATAGAGCACTTAATGAATTTTGAAAAAGTTTGAGTAAAGCGTGCTGCCAAAGCCTTGAAATCCTGACTGTTTTTAGTACAAAATCCTTTGACCACCCCCAAGTGATTGACCCGACACAGCTATTACTCGAACTTTCTTGATTTCCCCTTTTGACAGCAGTGACTTGACCCTGTGAGTATATCTCTCAGATTCCTTTAGGAGACAACACAACCTACTTACCTTGCATCCTTTCTCCAGCAGAGCTCTGCAAATTTTCTCTCCGATTCCCTGTACCCCTCCTGTGACTATTGCTACACACCCTTGGATCTTCATACTGTCTCACTGTTGAGTGCAACTTCACAACATCTGCTCCGAAGAGTTGTATATTTGTCAGTGCTCGTCTGATTGTTGTCAGGTTAAGTTCGCCATATTGGTCGAGGACAACAATGATAGACTGGGGCAGACTAGCCGGAAATGTCTTTTTAAGTGGGATGCCTGTGGCAAGGCCCACTAAATTGCGAGCATCCGTCGCGCGAGTGAAAAAAAGATCAGTGAAAAAAAATATCTGTTAGCGCACCACGGGGAACTCTTGAAGTGAAGCCGATGCACCGCAGGAACTCTATGAGTGAGGCATTCAAAAAGGACTTTTCGAGCGCCTCACTCATGAAGCTCATGCGGCGCATTGGTGTTACTTCAAAAGTTTCACGCGGTGCGCTAACATCAACTCTTTTTTCCGACGGACTTCGTCGAAAAAGAGGGATTGTTCGTAGTATACAGGCCCACGCTAAGGCTTGCCTGGTGTTCCTTTTTCATCGTCGACGCAAATCGAAAATTTTTAATTCCTTGAAATTCCTTGAAAATGCTTAAATTCCTTGAAATGCTTAGCCTGCAGAGCAGGCACAATTTTGGCGCCAGAGTGCTTAGTATTTTCTTTAGTCAGCGAAAATTATGACCGCCATCTTTTATTTTAATGACAGCAGAAGGCTTCCATATCTCTTAGAAAGCAATGAGTTTCCAGTAATCGGATCCTTGCGTTTGCGCAAGGTTGTTTCGACGTAAAATTACACGATTTACCACCATCATTGCTGTAGCTCGCGAGGAAACTAGGAGGCGTAGTCGGAGAACAAACACACACTTTAATCACGTACACTAGTTCATGTAGAAAGAAGTAACAAATTGTGTTACGAACACCGCTTATATATACCAGGGAGCCTGGGAACTAATAAGCGACCGCAGACCGGAAACCGAGGCCATACAACTACAACCCCCTCTTCTTAAGACAAAAGAAAGGAAAATAAAAACAACAACTGTAGGCTTAGAAATGAAAGCAAAGGCGAAGACGCATGTTCACACTGTACGCTATAAGTTCAGCCTATCAGAAGTCTTAGTTCTTCTACTGGATCTACGAAGTGGCTGCACAGGAGAAGCCCTTGTACGGCTTCCGTGACATGAGCTGATTCTTGACAGAGCGTCAGCGACAGGAATGTCCTTTCCGGGGACATATTTGATTTGTACGTCGTACTTCTGAATGCGCAGCATCATCCTAGCGGGGTGGCGCACTTGACAGATACTTTTTGAAGATAGCTTCTAGTGGCTTATGGTTGGATTCCACAACAACGGGCCGGCCATGGGCATAGTAATGGAACTTCTCTAAGCCAAACAGGACAGCTAGCATTTCCCTCTCGATGTTGGAGTAATGACTCTCGGTTGCGGTCAACAACTTGCTGGAAAACTCCACTGGACCATTGGCTTGTAGTAGAATAGCACCTAGACCCCTCTGTGAGGCATCCACCTTAATGGTTACAGGCTGGCTACTATTAAAGTACTGCAACGAGGCAGGGGCCATGACTGCCTTCTTGATGCGGTCTACAGCAGACTGATGCTCAGGACTCCAGAAAAATTCACTTGTTTTCTTAGTGAGCGCCCAGAGACTAGCTGCTATGGATGCCAAGTCAGGAATAAAACGACTAAGGAACTGGACCATCCCAAGGAACGTTTGTAGATCTGCAAGGCTGGTCGACGGGTCCATAGACAGTATGGAATCAATCTTTCGTGGATCAGGCTGGAGGCCTGCAGCACCTATGATATGACCAAGAGAAAGGAATTTGAGTGCACCTGAATTTACACTTGTCCAGGTTGAAGCGAAGACCAGTCTCATCAGCACGCTGAAGAACAGCACGAAGATTTTCGTCATGATCGCTAAAATCAGTGTTGTAGCCGTAGACAACAATGTCATCTGCAATTCCAGCGACGCACGGTAGGTCACCAATGGTTTCGTCCACTTTCCTTTGAAATATTTCCTGAGCACAAACCAGGCAAAAAGGCAGACGTAAATATCTGTATCTTCCAAACGGCGAGTTGAAGGTTGTCAACAGCGAGCTCTCCTGGGTAAGCTTGATATTCCAGTAACCGCTGCGTGCATCAAGGATCGAGAAGCATTTATCACCATTAAGTTTAGGTTTTATCACCATTAAGTTTAGGTAAAGTAGTGTGGCCTCTTGATGGCACGGTTCAGGACCTTAGGGTCCAGGCAAAGCCGCAGTGCACCAGTACTCTTAGCGACGCATACATGGGAGTTGACCCACTTGGTAGGCTCAGTAACTTTTGCTAAGATTCCTTGCTCAACCAATGAATCAAGTTCCTTCCTCAAGGGCTCTCTGAGGGCCTCTGGTACTCTTCGTGGAGGGTGCACAACTGGGGGAACGGCAGGATCAACTGTAATGCGATATTCGCCCTGAAAGGAACCAACACCTTCAAAGCAATCCTTAAACTGTTTGAGCACCTGCTCTTCGGCAGCTGGATCTGGGTGGCAGATAGGTCGAGGTGTGGTGCTTGGCCTGGGAGTCCCTTCATGGCTCGTGATACTGAAATTCATAGTTACTAGGTTCAAATCTGTACATGTTGGAAGGCCTGGTATGGTTGGACCATCAGCATCAACAACACGGAATGGGCAAGATTCACAGGACACCGTAATCCAGTTTGAGTACACAAGTGCCATGATGACCAACAATATGTCCACCAAACGCAGTGATGATGGTGCTAGATGGTGTGAGGATAGTAGGAATGCCACCGGGGTCACAGGATGCATTTGGGAAGAGTGATTTGTACGTACCCAGAAAGATAACGTTTCCCTCAGCGCCAGTGTCAACCTTACACAAGAGCGGTTTCTTACAGTGATCCGAGACCACTTCCACCTTTAGGAGGGCTTGAGTGTCATTCTTGGCGACCTAATTAACTGACAAGGTATGGAAGTATAGCTGATCCGGAACTGATGTTTGGGGGCTGTCTTCCCTTTTATCACGGGCCTCAACGCAATGGAAATGCTTCTTTCTATCAGATTTCCCTTTTGGAGGTTTAGGAGGTTTTGGACGAACATGCTTCGCCTTCCCCTTTTTGTCAGGCTTTGATGAACGACAGACTTTCCTCCAGTGGTTCTCTTTTCCGCAAGCACCACATTTTGAACCATAGGCAGGACAAAAAGATTGCTCAGAAATGTCGTGTTCGGTGCCGCAACATCTACACAAGCGAATAATGGGGCCGCGAGGCCTGATGGGAGGACCGCAATTTAGCGCGTCAACGTGAGTTGAAGTACCAGGTGAAATTTCTTTAATCTGATTACTTGTTACCTCTTCGGTTTGGGCGATATCAAGCGTGAGAGTGGCGTCCTTGTCCAGGAGCTTGGTTTGCGTACGCTTGGAGTTAGATCCAAAGATGAGAGCATCGATGATGTGCTCGTCAGGACTCGTAAATCGACATTCTTCGACCAGAATTCGAATTTTCTTGACAAATGAATCCACTGACTCACCAGGTTCTTGCTTCGGGGTCCTGAGTTTGTATCTTGATAGCCGAAAGTTGCTCTTTGGGGACAAATAGCTTTCAAAGCGAGTCCAGTAGGTGTCAAGTTTCTTCTTCTCCTGGTTCGATAAGGCCCAAGTGGAAACTAATTCGATGCCATCGTCGCACGACCAGATGAGAAGGTAGCTTATTTGTTCTTCCCCCGACTTTTCTTTCAGTGGGCCAGAGAAGTAAAGTTCGCATCGCGCTTTAAACCTTTTGAACGCTTGCGGAGCATCCGGTGAAGGCCAATCCATTGTTGGGATCGGTAAACCTGCGAATTCTGCCATCTTGGTAAAAAGTAGGATAAACTATCGGCCTGGTTCGCTGAAGATACGGTAGCGGCGAGCAGTTTACAGATTGACAACCACTCCTGACACCATGTTGTAGTTCGCGAAGAACCTAGGAGGCGTAGTCGGAGAACAAACACACACTTTAATCACGTACACTAGTCGACGTAGAAAGAAGTAACAAATTGTGTTATGAATACCGCTTATATATACCAGGGGGCCTGGAAACTAATATGCGACCGCGGACCGGAAACCGAGGCGATACTACGACAATCATCATCATCGTTTTGGTGGATCATCGCTTTTTCACCTTCATTTTATCTAAAATGGATTTAATTAAGTAATGTTGATAACGAAGGAATCGCACGACGGTTTTTGTGTTATTAGCCATCAAATATGTAATACCGCTCACCTCTCACCTTGCGCATGGTTTATTTTTTATGAAATTGACATCGCGCAATGGTCTCAAAATACCGCATCATTAGCTACAAATCGCTTGGAAACAACTCAGTACAGTCTTAATAATTGTATTTAAGTGTGTTCAGCCTGTTTTTACCGTGCTGCTGCTCTTTAGAGGGATGAAACAAGCGACGAGAAACACAAGGAGATCGGTAGGTCGAGTTTCAGTTGATTTGATCGTAGCATTGAGAGGATATGTGCAGTTACAGTCACAGTCGCTCCCAGGTCTTGTTTCTTTTACTCGTGAGGGAGGAAGAGAGAGGACCCCGGGAACTAGGTCGCCGCAAGAGAATAAAGACAGGTTCGAATCTTGATATCAGAACTAGAATGTTTAATGCTTAATGACAACTTATCAACAACTTTTCAAAGAAAAGTAAAGAAACCTTTTACTGAAGCAATTCTCCAAAGAAATTGTAGTGAAGGCCTTTAGACATGATTAAATGGACAAGTAGAGAGGTACCTTTGAGTTTTCATGTTAAATCTACTTCGTCTTCGAAATTAAGATCTGGATAAGTAGCATGGTATACATCTCAAAATCAAATCGATAAGGAAGTTGTATTGGTTTTTGTCAAGGGATTAAAGAAAGAAAATTAAAATAAATAGCTTCAAGTTTCTATTCATAATTAGCAAGCGAAGTAAAACAAATACTGAATCCATCTGGGAACTTATTTCCGCTTTTCGTTTGCTGGACACTTTCAGGTGAAGAAATGTTCGGAGAAATATTCTGCTAACTCAGCTTAATTCTGATTGCTTTTGATCTCGTCTTGTATTCATCATTCTTTCCATCGTCATCAACTCGTCAGACTGATATCTTCTCTGGAGCTAATTAAAGCAGTAAAAAGAAAATGAAATAGCGATAGAAGGTATCTACGTTTTGCACATAGTGTTAAGTACTTGGAGAATCTAGCTATAGCGGCTGATTTATACAATTTGAGAGAGTCAGTTTTTCTTTCTAAACACTGACGAAAAGACAAATAAAAATATCCGAGTTAACTTACCTAAATAAAGTATGCACATATTTTCTTCGCTGCATGGCAAGAATACTCTTAACCGAGGGTATATCAGTGAGACTTAGAGATTTGAATAATTCTAAATCGATTGTCCCTAGAAAGGAAGCGGATTTTGTTACCGTAATTTACAGTGCACTGCCAACTAAAAAAAACCAATTAGAATCTGAATTCAAGGAAAAATTTTTTCAAGCTCAGTTCAAGCCATGTACTTTCGATGTAACTCCATTTATCAAATTACGCGGAGCAATCTTAGAACTGTTTAAATGGTAGTTCAGATAATTATGTAGCATGCATTAGTTAAACGAAGGTTCATAACATCGAAGTTCGCTCAGTCTCACCTCCACTTCACTACGTTTTCGACCTGGAACATTGGCACCAATACCAGCAGTGAACCCATCAGTTTGATGTAATATTAAAGCCACCATTATCAACAGGCGGATTGCAGAAGGCGCACTACAATTAGATAAATTCATTGTTGAGGTTGCCTTTTGAGCTCGCGATTCAAAAATCACAACAGTATCTCAAAATAATATATTTGGAAACGCTAAGTCTACAGAGATCTACCGCAGAATTTTCTGCCTGAGTATGGACCCACACAGCTGCAAAAACCTGTGATTTGACGCTTTTTGTAAGCTTTAAGGTCTCATCAGCTCGGCTTATTTTGATGAGAGATTTATCAATTTTTAGCATTTCCACAAATCTTCAATTAAAGGCGGTCTGAGATTACAGTGAACCAAAAAATTAACGGCAAATGCTATTCAAAGCTTGGAATTAACTACTCTAATCGACGAGTTTAGTTTATTACTAACCCATTTCCATCACATTTTACTCTTAACTCTCATCAAGAAATAATGATAATAAATTTATCACGTTTCAATTTACACAGTTGTTTTTCTATCAAATGAAGTTGATGTTACACGATTGACTTTTCATCTTTACTGCGTTATTTCTTCTGGTTAATTCATATGCTTTGGCAATATTACAAGGACTTATAGTCATGCAGATAAAGCCAATTGTTGTGTAATATTCCGTAGACGTAGAGTTTCTGGGGTTCATTATGCACGCAGGTCTCGCAGCTGTTGCGAAGGCTTTGATTTGAAACACTAATTTCAGGAGATAACCAATCCTTGCATATTGTCAGTTTCTGCCTCCGCGTGGTCAGTTAAGATTATTATTGAGGGGGTAAAAACTGAAGCATTTTAATCAATTTAACCTGCATAAGAGGGCCCGTGGAATTCAGTTTCTTTTTTCTTCTCATGTTTGACCCCTGCCAACAACAGGCTATAGAAGTATTCTGGTTTACAGATCAGATATATTTCTTAATTCCTCGACAAAAGATTTCTTTTATTTCATTTATTTCAACGCTTTTGATTAAATCCGTCTATCTCTCCCCCTTCCTCTTTTCTTCAAGAAAATTATTTCCTTACATGAGAGGTCAATATGGTGAGCGAAGTAATGATGAGAGCAGAAATTACCCAAGAGACCATTACTTCCCAAATTCTACCCAGGTTTAGGTGGCATTTTTAGGGAAATCCCTGGGAACGATTTTTGTTTTCCTTGCTGAAGATCTAGTCAGTTTTAGTTAAAAAAAAAGACCAATGACCAATTTAATGGTATTGTATATATCTTTCGAACCTAAATTTTTGTTTCCATTCCCTTTTAGTGCTCTTTTGGGTTTTACTCTCCAACAACAACATGAATGATTTACATGCGTGTCTCTGAATGTCTTTTGCCCTCTACACATTCGAATAAGCCACACCGAAGGGTCTATCAAGTAATGTACTGACTTCCTTGCGCATTCAATTAAAAAGCCGATTTTCAATTTTTTACAATGGTATGGCTGGCATGTTTCAGCATACGGAGAACGCTTATGTTTCTCATAATCTATTTAATATTTTTTCCTCATGCGCACTGGGTAGAAACGCATCATTTGATCGAATATGCCCTAGCTAAAGCTGGAGAATGTCTGAGGATACATCCCTAGTGATAATCCCCAATTTTCAAACGCTGCGTCTACTACGATAAAAGTGTTCATTTGAAATTTAATTTAAGATGAAAGAGCGTTTAACTATTGTTATAGAAGAAGTTTGTTTGTTCATGAAGTCGCACCAGAGAACACAGAAAAGTAAACATCCAATACGCAGCACACAGTAGATTGTTCGGAAACACCCACGCGTTGCAAAAATATTTGAAGGATAATAAAAACAATAACCTCTGTTTGGTGCAAAATTATGCTCGGGTATTTGTCCTTGAACGTTATCTGTTTCTCATAGTTTAAAGTTCTGCTCCAGCTTCGCTCTCGAAAAACTCTTCGTATCTCGGCACAGGTAATGTCCGCGGACAAATATCCGTGCATATTTTAGCGCCAAATGGAGGCTATCGTTTCTATGTCAAGGAAAACAGTTCGTGCGCGCACATTTTTCTTGTGAATGTGAAACAGACTTGTAGCAAATTACAGTAATCGATAACTTAACTCCATTCTTTTCAAGCGCCCGAGGTACATTTTTAAGGTTTCAGAAGGGTGATATCGATCCTTGAAATACCGTGTACATCATGACTGAATCAAACATTGCAGTTTATTTCATAGTTAATTGGGTCGGTTAAATACAAGTTAATGCTGTTAAGAATATATCTCTATATTCAAGTTTGGGTTACTTTGCTTCCCATAACGAAAGAGGTCTTCTTTTTCTATCTTAGAGAATCTTTCTCTTCTTCTTGAATGACTGTAGCTTTGAAGATTATTGACCTGCGCGGAGGCGGGGCAGGTCGAAGTCGTCAGAAAGAATCTCTCGCTTGCAATGCTCTCTCGCTACTCTGCACATACTTTCCAATGCTCGCTTAGCCTGAGAAAAAATATTTAAAGCAGTGATTAATAGAAAATATTCTCGGGATTTAAGAGCAGGGTAGAGAGATAACACAGAAGTTTTAAGTTTAGTTTCAAGTTTGTTTCTGCCAAAATGGTGCAATGAATGCTGAGTTTTAATATCGCCACGATCAAATTGTCTCAAACAATATTCTAAATCGACAGGTGACATTGAAATTATACGTGGAATTGATCATCATAATAATTGACTTCTGAAAAGTTGTTTAACTTTTTTGCTCAATCAAAATCAAACATGGGATATGTTCTTGACTAAAAACCGATGAAATGGCTGCTTAGGTATATATAGTTTTCAGTGCTTTTTAATCATCGTTTAGTTACTGTAATAACAATGTAACAACAGTGAACAACAAGTACGTTTAAAAATAGGAATCGTCAGCTATAGTTGTGTAAATTAAAATCATTAAAAGGAAGTTCCATTGATATAACCTCCAAAGCCCTTTTTGATTTCCACGTTGAGCCACCAGCGGCAATTCCGTTCGCTGTTGATACCAGATTAGCTACAGCGACTAACGAAACGACAAGAAGAGTCACCAAAACTCTCTGCATGGTTTTCTGTTTTGAGGAACAGTTTGCGATCGGGGTTACTTTTGAAGATCATTTTCAAGTCGGTCATTATTCATATTTATGGCGTTTGAGAATCAATTATATGGGTAACTTCACCTCTTAGAAGGAATTGGTTAAGCCCCATAAACAATATTCGCTCGGAAATAAACAGCAAGTCTGGATAACTTCTCTCAACCAGTAGGAAATTAGTCGGAATCGTAATTTTTTATGTTCAAGTAAAGGCTTGATCTTTTGAGCCTTATTTCACACTTATTTCTTTGCATAAATGCTGACAGAAATGCAACGTTACAAGCAGTAGAATCCTTTATGTAAAATTGACTCTATTCAGGTGGAAAATTTCCTTATTTTTCTACGTTCGAATGCTGCCGAGTGTGAGATAAAAGCTGATATAGTCGAAGAATAAGTGATATAGGGACTTTCGTGCCCTGACATCTAATAAACCGCTTTTGATTGTCAAATGAATTTTTGAAAGTTCATTTCAGCAGAAAATTTCAAACTTAATCCATTTGACACATGAATAAGACAGTATTTGTTCTTTTCTAAGGTCGTTTTGTTCTTTAAGCTTCTGGTAACATAGGCGCGGAAATAAAAGGATTTACCCGTCTTCCGAGTGTTTAATGCAAACGTGGGTATAGGATGTTGTTGATTTAAACAATCGGTAGAATCTAAAGTAATAATTTTCAATTTCCTAAATTCTCATTTGATATGAACCGACAAAGTGTAAAATGAATCGACATTTCTTGCTAGGCGTACGTACTGCAGTAACCGATGAGTGACTTTTTACTGAATAGATGTATATTAGTCTGAAATTATATGATGAGCATGAAATACTAGGCTTCTTTTTTATATTTACAAGAGTGTTATTACAAATATCCTAAATTGAACCAACTTGGAGCGGCAATTTATATATTTTCTTGATCTAACCCAGCGAAAGATTTTGTGAATACGTCACCCAAAAGTGCAGAGCCATGGTGTATTTGTTTAGACATCCTAACTATGTTTTTTCTGTTCATATCAAAGTAATGAGAATATCTTTATCACAGCTACAAAGCAGATGATTAATCAATTTGTGTTCTCGCTCTCCTTGAATTAATGAGGAATTATTTGATCTTTGAGACGTTATGATTAAGGGAGACCTACAGGATAGTATGGACTTAAGTTAAGAATTTTGTTGGCCTATGATTTCAAACGTAAAGGACTAAACATCTTGTTAAGAGAGGTCAGCATTCAGGTAAAAGGTAATAGTCCGCATTGTAAAGCGCTTTTGAGCAACAGAAAATAGCGCTATATAAATCAACTATAATTTTTATTATCATTATTATTATTATTATTATTATTACTATTATTATCTGATGATGATACAATGATAGAACACTTGTACTGCGCTTGACCATGTGCAGACATTCTTGAGCGCGCTGTGATATTTTGTGCTAAAGTATCAATTTGATAAGGTATTAAAAACACAGAAAGGCCAATAAACAAAATAAAAACAAAGAAATTTTAAAATCACCAGATGGGACAAGGTTTGCTATGGATGGAAAAGGTAAAAGTAGATTTCAATTCTAGCACTTGTTAAGTTTAGAGCAGTGGTCAGGGGTATGCTCACTCCTGTTGTATCATGGGATATTACTCCATTGTAAGATTGATCCAAAGCATCACGTGGCACCTATACATATTTCAAGGGAGGGAAGATGAACTGTTCAACACAACACAATGACCTCCACTGGGGCGTCGACCACCGTGGATCTATCGATCGATAAGCCGAATCTGCGTTTCCCAATAAGGTCGAAAGCCTCTAGCTACATATAAACATGCATATTTTATTCTCACTTCATCTATCATGATGGGGATTTTCAGAAGTAATCGAAACATAATTAAATGAGCACAATAACATAAAATAACTTTATGCAGCATTTAAAAAATATCCTAAAAGCCTTTTTTTAAAACACGTTGAGAAACTTGGGTCGAAGGTCTTAATAGAATTCCTAATCATTCCAAAGACCAGCAGTTCTTTTACGGTCAATGCTCTTTTATAGATAGGTATTTTAAGTAACTATTCCCTTCAATTAAACGACCAGGTTGTAGATGACCGTTTTTTTTTCTCTGTCTAAGGCAAGTAAGACTAATTTTTTTTCTCAAACCATGAGCTTTTCCGTGCACAGATATTTATCAAAGAGTTTTGTCTTGAGACTTTGGCATGTTGCCGCCCACAAGGCTGCAAAGGAGTTGTGTTCAAAAGATGCGAAAATCACTGATGTTCTTGTTAGAAATCCAATGTACAAAACTAAACGATTATTCGTTGGGATAACAGCGATAATTTCAGTTGCAAAATCATGAATAGGCACGTTACCCATCAAACTTTCTTATTTTTTTAGAAAGAGTTTTCGCTCAAAAATCTTTGTATACGTACCCTCGCAGTTTTCGAATCACTTTGATCGACCGTCGCTCTTAAGCGTTTACTTTATTCTGCATCAAGGTTAGTCGTTTGAGAGAGTACATTTAAATACTGTTATTGAGTAATAAAGACGATTTTTCAACACACACCTCAGGTTTTGATCTTCTGCTCCAGTTATTTCCACCGGCCGCTATTCCCTGGCAGGGCCGAAGGACCACAAGTGTGGTTAAAAAAAGTGTTATCAGAACAATACAAAAATTAGTTCCCCTCTTCATTCTTCTAGTTAAGACGCGTTGCTATTAAAGCGAGATGTTTGTCTTTGCATCCAACAGAGCTCCTGATTCATTAAAAAATAACCCTCACTAGCAGGTAGTTAAATAGTTCTCGTCGTCTGCTTGAGTAAATAAGGGAGGTTTTACAAATAAAAGAACTATGATACACTGACAGTAAATGTGTTCCGGCCACACGACGCCTTGCGAATATTTGCGTAGGCCTTCTTATCTGCTGGTATTTAATACTCCTCGGATGTAAAATGGAGCCAATTTCCTCAATCGGGTCTATGAACCGGTGAAATAGACAGAACGTCCAATCTATCTTTGACATGTGAGCAGAACTCTTCTTCCGAAAGGCTTTTTACCTTTTAATCGATAATGTTCCTGATGTCATAAGGAATAAGCATCTTAAAATGTATTAGGGATAGGAAGTAAACTGATCGTACATCACTTAAATCTGTGTTTATAGGTTTCCAAATAATAAAAGTGCGTTTCCTTTCAGTCATTTCAGAACTGAATGCAATTTTCTACAAAATGTTGAAGTAAAGAACTATATCTACAAGCTCTGTGTTCTTGTATGAGGTCACTTCTTTTCTTACGATAAAAGTTTAAATCTTCAGGTGGATACAATGATACCTTTTTGAGATCGAAATAAACCTTTTAGTGACATGAAAGTCAATCAAAATTCATTGCAGTTGCTCCATAAGCTTGCGTTCAAAGCGTTCCAGACTTCAAAGCCGATTCTATGAAAAACTTTGATACTCCGTGCCCTCTACAAATTTCTAAAACCTCTCCAGTGAACACAAGGAAGCCTGATTTTAAAGTAAAAGTTATTTATAAAACGGTACACGGTTCTTCATATTGATGTACTGGTTTAGTTCCGAAATTACTCGGATTGTTAGTAGAGCATTCGGAAAACTTGTAAATAGCTCGCCATCGGTTAATGACTGATACGAACTCATTTCTCGTAATGGATGATCTTCCGAAGTAGTGCGTGGGTCTCCTCACATTCAATCGATATAGATAATCTCCGATCCTACATATGCTGGCTATTTTCTTTTTAAAAGTAAAGAGCTGATAAATGGATAAGGAAATTACCCATGTCTTCTTCCACCATCTATTTAGTCTGAATTAATTTTTTTAATAAATGTACATAAATAACCCCTTCCGCTTGCTCAAATAGTGAAATAGATAAGGCGACTTGGCTTAGAAAACGACAAAGATATTTCGTTGTTCCATTCTGATAAAGATTTCCGCACTTTCAATCGCAGCAAATCTATTTTTGGTGCAATCAAACTAATTGGCCAAATTTGAGCATAAACTAGGCAAGGATTAAGAAAAACCCTGTCATTTCTGCTGCCGGCCATTATTGTGTTTAGATAACGTTGCCCACACACACATAAGTTTGCCAGTTCTTTATCGCCAAAATAAGCTATTTTGCTCTTTTTTTTTTATATTGTTTCTGTACTGCTTTTTTTGTTCAGAGTGTGCTTAACTAGAATCTTGATATCAACATGCCTGAGGACTTGCAAGAGCTAGAATATACGGGAGATGTCGCAAGAAATCTGGAGATCGAAAGTAATTCGAAACCTGCAGCACAGAAAAGTTTTTTCTACAAATCATCGGAAAAGTTATACAAGATCATCAGCAGAAAAGGTGAAAAATGATTATCAAAATGAGTTCCCATCAATTGAAAAAATTGCACCAAAATGTTATAGTTCTCACAAAAAATCTAAAACTTAGGAAGCCTACAAACTAAGTGATTTTCCTGCGGTTCGACATAAATGACATATCAAACTCAATCCAATCTAAGCTCCGGCTATTTGCATACGATTGTGTTCTTTACAGAGAGGTAGCCTTACACCAGGACTGTCTTACTCTACAACAAGACCTTGATCTTCTGTATCAATGCTCGAGGACCTGGCAGCTCTGTTTCAATGTGTCCAAATGTTACCACCTCGGAATTACTCGAAAGAAAATACCTGTTAACTTCACTTACTCTATGAACAATAAAATCATATCACAAGTCCCCTCCACAACTTACCCAGGAGTAACAATCACTGATAACTTGTCTTGGAATCAACACTGCGATAATATCTGCAACAAGGCAAACTCCACCCTTGGCCTTCTTAAACGAATCCCTTCCGGTTGTTCTTCCCAGGTAAAGAATACTGCATGTTGCTCGCTTGTTCGTCCTAAATTAGAATATGCGAGTAGTGCGTGGAATCCATATAAACAATGCAATGTCAATAAGATAGAGATGGTCCAACGACGTGCCGCAAGGTTTGTCAATAATGATTACTCTCGTCACAGTAGTGTGTCTCAGATGATTAAATCACTAGGATGGGATTCTTTGGAACGTCTCGTATTAGTAAATATATAGATTTAGTATATACTAAAACAGTGGATAGCGTTGAAGGCGCGCTCTGATTGGCTAGTCAAACTCCGAATATCTATCGCTATTTACCTCCGAGCAACTCGGGAAAAAATGGCGTCCCGGTTGACAAGCGTAGAAATCACTCAAATTAACGACGAAGCAGTGTATATTATCTCACTGTTTTAGTATATAAGTTTCGTTGTCTAGTATCGCTGAGTATTTCTACGGGTTGTACCGTATTTTGACGAGCCCGTAAGGCGAGTTAAAATACGGCACAACTCGTAGAAATACTCAGCGATACTACACAACAAAACGTCCAGTAAGAGATTTAAAAGATATCTTATTTAAAAGGTATTACGCTACTCAGGTCGGCGCTCACGTATCCGAGAAAGATTGTTGTCTCAGTGGTATTATTAAAAACTGGATCATTGGATAATGCAATTCAAGACTTTTTATTGGCTTAGCCATTATGGTATATCAGCCAATATACCATAATCTACAAATATGGTAAGCGTACGCGTCAGCTTAAAATCAAAAGGGAGCTAACCATCCGAGATAATGCAAGTTACCAGACCATCAAGGTACCCAAATTGTGTACCATTCCAACAGCTTTGCACCCTGAATGACACATACAAATATTCCTTCTACCCCAGAACTATCAGAACTTGGAACAATATGAACTTACCTCAAATCCCTAACTCTCTAGATAATTTCAAGGCCAATGTGTCCTTATATATTTAAAGACAGTAGAGCTTGTATTTATCCGGTGTATATTAATTTTAATTATTTATTCTAGAAATATTATTGTTTTATGATCAATGTTATTATTTATGTTATTTTCATCACTATTTTAATACTTTTAAATATAGTTATAAGTTATATACTGTAAAAACTCCTAGTATAGTTTTAACTGTTTTAAGAGGTAAACCTATTAAAGCATTCATACAGGCTAATCAAGCTTGAAGAATTGTTGCACTAAAGCATTAATATTAATAATTAATTGATATTATCGATTGATGAAGGGAATAGTTGTCGCCTTCCGCAGTATATCTCGATATAAAAAAATTGTCATTTTAAAATTGCTTTTCAGTTATTCGTACTTGGCGCCATGGAGAAACGCTTTCTAGAAGAGAAATGACTCAAACAAAGTGTGATTATATCTGTGTTTGGTCATTTATTCCAAAACAAGGAAGTTTACTGCAAATTAATTGATGGTGAAAAGTATCAAACAATGAAAGTATATTTTCAATGTTTCCCTTCTATATCCTTTTCTTGTTTTAGCTTTCCTTGCTATTTTGAAGTGCCCCTGGAAGAAATTAAAAGTCGTTTCCGTCCATTTCAGACTATCGCAGCTTTGGCCTATCGGGAAAGGGAAGTGATGTGATCACAAATATATCATCTTAAGGTTCAGTGATGGGCGCTGTCCAGTTGCTGTGGAAAATGTAGAATCGTTAATTTTTTGCGCTTTTCTTTACCGATTCTCTATTCATTAGTTCAATCACAGAGTGACCTAGAACGAATCAAATGCAATCCGACAGTACTTAAGATACTGAATTGGAAATTTCTTCATTCGAGAAGATCATCTTAATTTCAGTGGACCATTTTGGAGTTTTAGGTTTAGGAAAGGTTGAGTTTTGTTCCTTTTTTTTCTAGTTAAAGGAGAGTGGAGGCTCAACAGTATTAGCAGCACCACATCGCATGCAGCTGTTTATTAGCTGACAAAGGTAGAGAAAAATTCTATAAGATCTTGACATCTTGTCCTTCACTAGCATTTTGGAAAAGGATATTGAAATTTGAATGAGGCCGCAAGCTGCTAACAAAATTTCAAGCTTCTACAGTAGCCTCTTCTAAATTCAAAATTTATAAGAAAATTTATGATCACTCATCGGAAAATCGAGAATAGGGGGAGGGTCTTGGGTTAAACGTTTCTACATGAGAAGGACTCTGAAGAAAGTTTGATTTTTTAGTGCGTGGTCGTACCCTCTATCAGTTCTAGTAGATCAGCATCTAGAATGCGAGGCTACATTATTTGCTTTTTCCGGCGCTGTTGCTTTGCGCTTCTTCTCCAGCCCATACTACGGTTGGACCTAGTCTGGTTATGTTCGGTCAGTTTAGTAAAGTGTCTGGGTATTTGGTGAATATGACAAAGCTTGTTAAGATCACATCCAATATCTGTAGTTTTACTAGGTCATCCAAATATCGTACCAAGCTCGCACTGACACAAAGAGACCGGAAAATGCAGAAATAGGTTTGCCAAAGGGCTTAAAACAGTAGGCACCTATTTCAGGTTTCTAAAAGGACACCTTATTTTTGAAGTCAGACAGCTAATCAAAACCAACACTCTAAGATAAAATGAAATATTATTGCTAAATGCTTAAAGTTACATTACATAACATATACGACTCAACAACAAAGGTTTATCAATTCCGTGCGTTTCAGTTCACTAGACAATTATGTGGATAGCCAGCCGGATACTAAACATCTGTTTTTCTTCAAGGGCTCGTCTGCTTTCTTCGGTTTTTTATGATCTCAGGTAAGCAACGCTTTTGCAACTCTTGACAAATACTTCGAGTGTCATGCATCGCCTGAAAATAATAATAGACAATACGCCACTTAACTTAATAAGTGCTGTAAACTTCTTTTATCAAGATTGTCTTTTCCGAAGGATACAATACCCACATTTGATATTTTGCGACAGAGAATATGTCACTCACGTTTAGGAAAAGTGCTATGAAAAACTGATATTTTTACACTAAGTTTACCATTGAAAAATTCTGTTTTAAACAGAACAAACAGTTTTACCAAAAGACAAATGCTTTTAGACATCTGGAAGTTATATGGTATTAGGTTTGACAAAAAAAATCAGGCTAATTACGCTTTATCCCTCAGAATTTTAAGCGTGAAAAAAAAATTCAGCAGAGAATGTAATCTATTGTGAACACATTCCCTCCATTCCTCAGTGAAGATTCAAAGCCGAAATTTCAAGGTTTTGTCTAAAGTTTAGAAGACAGGCTTTCAGTTCAGCGTCATATTACAGTTCTTAGATGCTTAGCTTCACTCGGTGAGCAATGACGTTTCCCATACTTGGCCTCTCAGATTCATTTTTAAGAACAATTTTTCACATTATGCTGTTTTTTGATCTGCAATGAAAATTAGCTTGACCTGTGCCTTTGGTAGTTCTCCAAATGAAGGGATGATCCTTTTTGTGCGACGGTAAGGTTTATGATTTTTTTTTCCATTGTTTCGAAGGCCACGTTGCATTTTCTTATCTTGAAAAACATCTGAAAACATTTTCTTTACATTTTTTATGGAATAAAAATGATTTATCTGACTTAATATTGATTGTAGATAGCTGCAGCAAGACCTTTGTTTACCTCAATACCAATTTTTTCTTACACAAGAATACTGTTTTCACGGCTAAAAGATGACACTGAAAGAGTTCATTCAAACCTCGAAGACGCTTTTCCATGCTTGCCTGCTGTATGAAAATCCCTGAGCTGCTGGCATGTTAGTTACGAAGCAATTTAGGGCTACAAGAAACAAAATTGCCAGATATTTCTTCATGACGAATTTCGTGTATTGCTCCCAATATTCTGTTTGACGATCGTTGAAAAAAATCTTTTTTATGAGAAGCGTGCTAGTTTTGTGGATGGATTCAAGCTGCTTATTTATGAGTGAAAATGGAACAATTGGAAAGAAAGGGTATTGTTATAATACAAATAAACTTCTCTTCGGGTAGAGTAGCTTGTAAGTAACTCTTGACAAATTTATGCCATTAAAGGATTTCCGAGAGCCTTTGAGTGAAGAAAACAATACTTTTCGACATAAGAAAGCTAGTTTAAAAGACAGGAAGCTCATAGACACCGCATAAAAGGAAAAGATTGCATCCGGGTGGCATTGTCATCACAGCGCATGATCATTAACTTTACGTCACAATGTAGCCTTGACACCAAAACTTAAAAAGGATTATCAATATTCATATTGAGTGTTAAAAAAATGACGGAGAGATATTTCTTAAATTGAATTCAAGTCCTTCATAAGGTTTGCATTTACTTTCCAACTGAAAATGGTGAAGGAAAAATATTGTCTGCATGGAGCCTCGTGTAATAATTGCATCAATCATAATGAATAGTATTGCTAATAATGATCATAATAGTTATAATAAAAATGATCATAATATGGTTAGACTGTTTAATGAAGGTAAAAATTGAATTAAGATGAAAAAATACACTGATAGTTAAAAAAACTAGATACTTACAATGTGAATACAGTTAAATATAAACTACACTTTAAGAACGTGATTTTTTTTACATTACGTTTTTTTTATAATAAAGCTTATCACCTTGATCACAGAATCTCCAAAATGAAGAAGAACCTTTTTTTACGCTTTCCTGGAAATATATAACGTTAAAATCAAAGATGGACAGTCGAGACTTTTTCACAAGCGTACGTACGCAAGGGAAAAACCTTTTTACTATGCGAAGAAAATGTTTCAGAGCAGATTTGTCAATATCCCTCCCCTTCTTAATTTTCGGACATTCTCACGGTTGCGTTCCGCCCACTTCAAATATTTCACAGTGATCTCGCTTCAGTAGGCTCTTTCTTTTTGCATGGCCAGCTACTTCTGGACGAGACGCAATCTTCTCGGTCTAATGCCCTATAACCACTGTTATCTAAAAAAAAAAATAGCCTTTTTATAGGATTACACAATTACTGGTGAACCAGTAGTTTCCATTGTGGTCCTTGCAAACAAATAAAACAAATGGTCTAAATTGAACATAACATCATTAAGAACCCCAACCTGCCGGAGGCAAACCAGTTGGCTCTTTACAAGCGTGGCCAAGGATCTGAACACGGAGCTACTGTGAAACGAATCTAGTGGTCAGGGTGGGACTCGAACCCGGGAGCGGCGGATTACGAGTCCGACACTCTAACCACTCGGCCACACCGCCTCTCACACTCTGAAATTATTCGTTTACCAATTTTTAAATTCATCCGGTTTCGAGCACCTACAAGTACCGATAAGACAATCTTTTTCCCATCGTTTCTACTTCCTTAGCATTTAATTATTATTAACTCAGCGAATAATTTGGAAATGGATTTTGATATCACAGTCTTAATACTTTTCTGAAGATATACAGAATGGCTTGTTAGAACAAAATTGGATCAAGACTAAACCTATAAACGATTTCTCAATGGCACGAAATTGCAGGTTGAGGTAGTGCCTGAGTTTGCGAACTAGTAAGCCAACTTTGATCTTGAACAAAACGGGTGGTCATATTACTGCATTATGTTTTTGGTTTGAATGACCGATTCTATCTGTTGGTGGAACAGGGTGACAACATATATCAACCTTGAGGTCTGTCTGTATCGAGATGACAAAGAAACTAGAGATATGCTTTTCCAAGTGTACAATACAAATGTAGTGAAAGAGGGCTCGCACAATTTGGTCAATTAAGTGCCTACGATATCACTTATGACTTTAAATTCTTTTGTAGTGGAAGACAACCCTAGTCACACCCTCCCTCCCTCTTTTCAGTGTTGGTAAAGGGAAAAATGTCTGAAAACGAACTATCTTGGAAAGGAGGGTGTTTCAACAAAAACATGCTTAGGAATTTATAGAGTTGGTTTTGGCTCGATTATTGTAAAATTGCGTGGAAGATTCTGATAAAAGACTCTCTGAAAACTCAACCACCTTTTATGTTCGTTTCGGCTCTTTTAGTTCATGAAGGAAACTAATTTGTCTAGCGTCGAGATGGAGGAGTTAGGCTTGGGCACGACTTACGCCTAAGGCTCTTTTGAGATTTAATCACTCATTCGTCTTGCGCTGTTTGTTCAAGAACCGAGGTTGGCATGGTACGTGCTTTACGGATATTTGTGAAGAGAACACATCTTCTCCTTCTTATGCTCAAGTATATTATTAGTTAGGCGAGCTTTCGCTAATGGCCACCGCTCTGTCTTTCCTGTGCACAAAGCTGTTTATCAATGACTGACTTTTTGTGAGGCTAAATGCGCGACAACTCGCTTAAGGCAGCATTCGCGTCCACTCTCGACGGATTTATTTCGCTTTGAAGAAAATAAAGTGTATGAAATATAGTGTATGCCATGCGAAAAAAGACTTTATTAAATTCAGATACTCACTGAAATTTACTCATTTTTCCGAAGTAGTATACTTCTAAATTAACATTTGTTTATTTTCTGTTAAGATGATTTTATTGTTGTTGGAATTTACTGGCTGTGATAAACACCTTTTCGCTTATTAAATATTCCCACCCTGTTAATAAGAAGATATTTGTTGTATAGCACACCTTTCTTCTGAGAACGGCCACTGATTCACACTGCGGCCATTTCTGTTCCGGGCCAAGACGATCATTATGGGGAGACTCAACAGCAGTTCTGCTACAAATTATTGTTATGCAAGGGATTATGACAGCTCCTAGCCTTGATGTAAGGTCTTGAAAAAAGGTTTTAGCTTTTTCTGTTAAGTACAACTTGCGACCACCCTCTTTAAAAAGTGTATTCTGAGATCTTCTCAGGAGATCTCGCCAGATCCGCCGTCCTGAACACCAGGTTGAAAACACTACTCGCAAGGAGGCCTTTGGGGACCGATCGCCGAATTCAGTGTTCATTTTACATATTTTTTTGGCCTAGACTACGATTCTAAGTAACATTTACAACCCTGGCAGTTTCTTTTCACATGGTTCGGACTGGAGTTGTGAGTTAAAATTTTCCACAAATTTTCATTTTCTTGTCCTCATGAATCCATCCAACAATTCAACCACAGTTAGTAGTCCCCCTCTACTAACTATGATTCAACAAAATATTTCAGTTAAAGATTTTTCTGTTCAAATCATTTTTCCCTCAATTTTTTGTCTCAACATGATCTGTAAAGCAGGTAAATCTCTCATGCCTTCAATCTAAGCTTCACATTAAAGTAGAAAAAAAAAACATCGTCTTTAGTAAGCTTACGAAGGAGTCCAAATGTCGATCAAATCCAGTTTAATTGAAACAGCACAGCCCCAGTGTTAGGAAACCTGATGGTGTATGGATTTGAATCTAGAGATTGAACAGAGGTTCAAGGATAAATCAAGATCTAAAGTTTTTATTTTGGTAGTTGTCTTTTTTATATTTTGCCCCATTTAGGGACGGGTACTAATAAAGGATTATCGCTGTCAAATTTTCTGTTCTATAACGATCAGATTTCGCAGGAAATCTTTATTGAGAATAAATGCCGCTCGACTCAGATAAATGACGGGAGTGTTTCGGAAAGTTGTGAAAATTTATCATTTTTAGGATTTCAAGGTTTAACTGGGAGGTTTGAAAAACTCTCATTGTCTGTAGTTCATGGACATCATTTTAAAACCTCTGAGTAAATGTTCAAAAGAAAAACAGCTCCTTGGTGACTCACGAACTGCATCAATTCCGTTGATGCCGGAATGATAAAGCCGGAATTGACGAAATCCCATTCCCTTACTTAGAAGAGGCTCGGTGAACAAAATGAGTTGTAACTTCATATTCCACAGCTTGACTGAAAGAGCGGAAATCAGTGAAAATAGCGATAACGTGTGCTTACTCGTTCCAAGTCACAGTTTTCTTTCCTTTTTTAGATTTGGCTGGCAATTGAAAATCATGATCAGATATTAAAGGCCCGTTAAAGTGGCAGCTGCAAGACATTTAAATCATGCATGCATTCACAGAGAGTTTTATTTGCACCTATTGTGTTTAAATAACTTTCATATCACTTTGTTGCGAGTAATAAAACTAGTAAACAAGTTTTTGATTAGTTGACCATCCGGCACGGTAAACATCTAAAACTTGAAATGATTTACAAGTCTTTTATACGGTTTATTGTCACCTATCCTCATTAAAACTTAACAACTCGATCTTTACCGGGGTCAGAAATAAACGTAATAAAAACCTACATTTACCATTGTTTCCGATCCTTCTTGCTGAATCCTATTTGGAAAGTGTCTTTTAGTGAAACTACTTGCTCCAACACTTTTTGAATTCTTCGGAATTTCGGCCTAATTTACCCTTCTCTGGCACATTGCAATGAAAAGATTCTCGATTTCTTTTGGGCTCAAATTTAAGGATAAAATCTAGCAATAACTTTATCCATATAGCGAGGCTATTTTTCTCACCTCCCACGTATTCATCGAATAAATTTGGTTTCTAGTCACAAAGGTGGTCAAAGCGTACTTTTTGAAGTTAGATAATGTGTGAACTATAAGGGGAACATTATTGATCGTTTTACTTCTATAATTTCCGCTAATTGTTAGAGGCCCATTGCTTTTTAACTCTCATCCTAAAACCGGTCAATTTCAGTCTTATCTAAAAGTTTTGTTTGTTTGTCGAGCAAAAAGTGCGCGATTTACTTCTGAAATATATGTATAACCCTCGTGTTTTAGAATTTGCGACGAAAGTATTTAGCTTTCAAGCTGTAGGTTTGATTGCAGGGAACGGTAAAATATGTGTGTTCCATTCGAGTCATTCTGAAAGAATCAAAAGAAATTTCCAGCAGGTGATTAAAACTGATGGTTTCACTAAAATTGAACAGAGAGACTCGAGAAACGATACATTCTGGACTGCAGTTAGGTGGCGTTCTACGCGAGACCAGTGCATTAGTGAAAAGGATATTGTTCGCCACTCAGAATGGTAAATAGGAGAGTCAGGGAGATTTGCGAGAAAAATTTTACGAAGACACTTATCAGGTAACTTACACTAGAAGATGATCGAGCAGGCGCTAAAGAAAACGACAGGCAAAGGAAACTTTATCGATTTTACCAAATACTCTTGCAAATAGAATTTTTTCATGTAAAAAAATTTTTCTTGAGGATTTGGATGACGTAACTCGAACTCTCAAACTGGGATTTGATCTGAGCTTAAATTTGAAAACTAAAAAAAAGGACGGAAAACCATAAACTTTGTGTTTTCAAAATCCGTTTACAAATGACCAAAATGCTCGATATTCTTCCGAAGATTGAACGAAATCATGTTCACATATGTACAGAAATCACATTTCTGAATTCGTCAGCGTAAAGTTAAATATCATGCAAAATTTTGGCTTTGAAAATTTTAACGTAATTGTTTACCCACGTATGGATGTTTTGTAGCGAAAGATCTAATTCCACAAAAGAAGCAAAAAACTGAAGTTGAAAAATATTAAATTTGGAAACAAAATTCCCCAAACCGCACGAATATTTAGGATTTTAGGCCGAATTTACGTTATCTACAAAGATTAAAGAAGATTGCTTCCATGTAAGCACCTTGAATGGTTACAAAGAAAAAACGCAAGAAACCATGATGACAACTTTTTTCCCCTCGAAGACTCCTTTGGTTTACAATGACCTGAAAATCTGTCTTCTACCAAAAGAATTTTTGTTTGTGCTATAGAATGTTTGCCAATAGAAAGACATGTTTACTTCTTAATTAAATTTAAGGTGTCACACAGATTTTAAGTAAGTCAAAACTAAACAACATCTGTTCCCCAAAAAAGTTGATGATAGTCTTCATGTATTAAAAAAAACTATTCTCCCATTAGTGAACAAGCCGCATTAAATCTTGCGAAGATTAGAGGTTTTCGTTAAATCACCCTTCGTATCGCCCTTTTTCAGCACAAAAAGCTACCAGTTAACGTTAGTGACTCTTTAAAAATCCTAGATTTGAAATGAATCACCTGGTTAAGAATACCTCATCAACTGGACAAAGATGCAGCGATGAATGATTCGGACTAATGTCCGCCGCAAAGGTGGAGTAAACTTAAGACTTGTGTCATTCTGTTGCCGCTAATCCAACATTGATGAGCAACCTTTGTTTGTAAGTTTACTTGTTTGTCACATTTAAAGGATGGAAAAGTCATTATTCCTCTTACGAAGCTTTTCCCAAACGCTCGTTAATGGTTATGTTAACATAAACTGTCGGATTATAAGCCAAGCAACATGGGGGCCGCTTAATTATTATTACTTGAAAGTTCATTTATTGCAATCAGGAGTGATGAAGGCATATTTCACAAATCTTTTGTTTGGGTTTGCAATAAAAAGGAAGCTTCGATTCAAAAGCAGACCTGTACCACGATCAATAAGATTGAAGCCGATTGTCAAAGCGACTGTAGCACCTACAGAGAAGAAACCATGCAGAAAACCTTGACAATTTTCCTTGTTATTTCACTAGTTATTGCTGTGGCCAACCTTCCCACATCCTATGGGATTACTGCTGGAGGATCGACATGGAAAAGGGCTTTGGAGGTTTGAAAAACCTTATCCTCGTTCTATTTCTGTAAATTAAACACTAAACTGTTGGCGACTTACCATTTTTAAGAAAGATTTTTTACGATGAACTCTGAAAAGCTCTATTTCGGCCAGGAAAGAGGAAATAAATCATAGCAATCTTAAATTATTCAAATTTCTAAGTTTTAATATTACGAGGAAGAATTAGAAAACATTGAAATAGGAGGTGATGTTTCTTTTACAACAACAGCTATCTCAATTTAATCCTCAGCCACTTCTAATTTTTCATATATTTTGCCGCCATCAAAACACAGAAGGAAACCAACAGTTTTTAAATGCAGTTTTTTTTTTTCTTAATAGTAGTTTCCTAAACATTTACACCATGTAACTGAGTCATTTTAATTAAAAACCCGAAAAAGCTTGTTTCACACCTCTGTAGAAAAGACTACAAGCAGATAGTGTTGCGAGGCAGTGTCTTGCGGCATAAACGTTGAAATAAAAAGGGATTTCAATGAAACATATTTATTAGGGTGTAGCAAGATTTTCTTCATCATAAAATAGATACTGACCTTGAGAAACTTCAGTTACAAAAAATGTTTTGATTTCGTCAAGAACTTTATTCATTTCGTCCAAATCATTGATGAAAACTATTATGCACTTAAATCATAATTTTGAATAAACTAAATTGTAACTAAAAAAGCTTGGTAAATTTTTTCATTTTTTATAAAAAAAAAAGAATTGATCGAATCAATCACAAAAAATATAGTTCTTTAAGATATGATTAAAATGTTGGAAAGTGGATCGAGTTTGAATTTTTTTGTATAAATACTTTGTTTGAATCATTTTTTATGGGACGGCTGCCTCGTAGTCTAAGAATGTAAACATGGATATAATTTGGGCTTAAAATCGGTCAACCAAAAATAAAAAACTGGCAAACTTCCAGAAAAAAAGTCCAGCTTGACAATACCTAAAAACCCTAAAGTAACGAATTACATCGTACTACATTTTTAAACGGACACTTGTGAGGCGACACTTTTATCACGGCCGTCCTGAAAAAATATCCCTTTAATTTACATTCCTGACACGATTAACGATGTCTTAATTTAAACCTGTATTTATAATAAAGTGAGATTGGCTGAAGTATTTTCTGTCACGTGTGCCCCGAAAACCTCTTGTAAAACACTTATTTGACCTTGAATGTGTTAACCGTTTCTCTCCAACGAGGGATCAAATTGTAACTTCTCTCTACGACGTTAATGTATTACCCAGTATATGGGTAAAAAGAATAGTAACTCTTATCTGTTAGGGGTTATAATACTAATAAAACTATAAATTCTCTATAAGGAAACGCATGGTAGATATGAGTCTCGTAGTCAGACCTTCCATCACGGGCAAGCAGCGGTTCAGCTATAGTTACGCGGTAGGCCTGGGCACCAGATTAGGTGGATGAAAAAGGGAAAGTTCCACTGAGACATTCTTGGGTTAAGGGTCGAACTTACAGCTACAGACAATTCCCCTCGGCCCTGTTCCTCAAAGGCCAAGTAGAATTACCGACGCGGACAAAATGTAATCCAGTCTTTCCTTATCACCCTTGCATTCTGATTTTCCTTGTTTGTCTCTTGCCTGAAGTTTTGCAAAGATATTTTTTGCAATACTTGTGATAGACATTGAAGACAATCCTCCTGGAAAATTTTAGGGGGGAACAAAAAAGGGAAAACGGCTGATTCAAGTCCACTGAATAACGAGGTTTGTTTGATGCGTATCCGTCAGAAAGGCAACAAGTACGAGATTACGAGAAAAAAATGACAAAAATGTCTGACTTGAATGAGATCTTTATCCTTGCATTGAAATGGATTTTTCAATTGAAATTATTTCCTCCTTAAGTGATTGATAGTTACTTAGAAATGAAAAGCTTTCTCATAAAAATGTGTTCTGTTCTAGGCTATAAAAGAGAAGAGAAACTTGTGCCGCGCACTTGAACAGCACTGCAAGCGCGAGTTGATGCAGGGGCTCTCAAGTCCCTGCACCCTTCAAGGAGAGTCCAACGGCTGACCACATGCTTAATGTAACATATCCACAATGCGAGAACTTTGTCAAATTTGCAAAACCATTTAATTGTATATTAAAACAGAATCAATAAAAAGTGATAGCACGGATGTCTTTACTATGATCTGGTTCATGATAAACCCGTCCCTATCTGAATTATAAAGCCTTCCAAACCGACTTAGCATTAAGATTTACACAGTCTTTTAGCCAAAAATAAGTGATGAGGACGGCACACTAGCCCTTGCGCCCTTGTCGATGAAGTTGGTAAAAATAGCAAATTTTGCAACTAGTGTTGCCAAATATTTGTCCAAATTATACTCAAAATTCTGCTGTTTCTGTTTTTTGTCTGTGGACAAACTTCGCTTTTCTAAAAACAAGAAAGCAGCATTAACAACAACTAAAAACAAGACAAAATATTTAATCCTATCTTCGGTATTAACATGATAATTTTCTTCTCGTATCTCTTAGTTGGTCGAAGCCATTTGTAAGTGATATCCAGGGACGACACAATATTTACTTCAGGTCTGCTGAAAATCCCTACACGAGGGCAGGGGTGAAACCAAGATTTTTCAAAGGGGGGGGGAACACATTGGGTCAAACATAGGGCACTCGCCAGATTGTCCTGTCGACCTGCACGCTGTGTTTTACTCAATGTGATAAAAAGAGGTTTACAAAAGGGGGGGGGACACGGGCACCCTAAGATCCCTTTAGCTACACCCTTGGAGTAACAGTTCATTACTTTCGTCACCTTCCCCGGATCGCCCTCCCAAGTTAATACGAATAAAAGTACGCGAGCCTTGAAATTTAGAATGGTCAATAACTGGTAATGTATCCTTCGAAACAAAACAAAAAACAAAGAAACAAAATTAGAAAAAAATTAATTCAAATCAATTATGCTACCAGCGCTCCTTTGAAAAAAATGCACCAATTATGCTCGTTCTCCAAATTATACCAAAAGCTGTGCAAGCAAAACAAAATGGAATGTAAGTAAATTTGGGAAGAACCGGTCAGCCAGAGTACCGTACAACACAAGAAATGTTGCTTAACAATGTGGTTTAAAATGAATCAATCAGATTTCAGTATTTAGAACGAAGGGGGAAAAAGGAAGGAGGCACAAAACGAATGGAGAGTAGGGAGGAGAGAGGTATCGCGAAGATGAGGGGGGGAGTTAGTCAAATTTTAAATGACGAGTTTGTGACGTCACGCAAAACTCGCCATTTTCTAAAGGCGATCGTGAACTATATCGCGCCACTTGTCTGCACTAACGGAGATAGTGGGAAAACTACGTTTATTTTAGAAACTGCAGTGTAATACAAAAATTTCTAACCCTAAGAAGGGCCGTAACAACACACATGAAAAAAATACGATACATTTTTCACATGTATTTGATATCGCTAATTATTAAAAACTGGATCATTGGATAATGCAATTCAAAACCTTTTATTGGCTTAGCCATTATGGTAT